CACTCGATGGCCATGCTGCGTGCGCCAAGGTCGGAGGCTTTCTCGGTATCCGAACGGAACTTTCTTCTGACTAACCTAAACTTAAACGACCGTGTAGGTAGCGATATGCCCTTAGCAGGAACGCATAGCAACTTCAACCTTGACCCGTTTCCAACAAATGGGCCACAACCACAAATAGCTACTGAATACGAGGTGAACTCGCACGTTCGTATGTCTATTTCTGTACCCTGATTGTTTGTCGCCAAGACTTGTGTTTTTGATCTGTAAAAATGACCTTGACCTTGATCCAGTTTAGTCGTGTAATAAATATCTGACCCCGTTTACCGCATTATCGGCTGCTATCGCGTGCTCGTTATAATAATATTAGATGGTTAAAACCCATTAGAAGTGTTCTATATACACATTCGGATCATTCCCCACCGTGTCCGCCGTTAGTGTCACTCTTAACTGTCTCTTACATTGATGACTCGTAAGCGGGCTGCTTGATGCAAATTTCCAATATAAGTTTTATCCTTTTACGTTTTTCGGTTACTTTTATGCAAGCGATACGTCGTTTGGACATTCTGAATTGACTACAAACGGTAATACTCAATTCTACACTATAATGATTCTCAACGGTACAGTGTTGCGGTAATCAATTGTTTCACTAAATGTTCTTAAAATTATTTAACGACAACTCTATCGCTGTACAATTCTCCGCACGCTGAATGTTGCCTCCTAACGTTGACGTGTTTTCAGCTTTTCTATGCCTTACGTAATAATACTCAATGCAACTTTGCATCAGTTCATTCATTCAATTGTGTCAAGGGAGCGACCCCGGCGACCCGATTCGATGCAACCGATGTCACCGAGTTAAATGTAAATCACAAACACGTCCCGCTGATTAGTTATATTGTATACGCTTACTTTTATCTCCTATTAGCAAACTAATACGAACATTTGTTACATGTGAAGTAAAACGTGTTGTAGATAAAAAAAGTTCAAAACCGTATTCTAATACGAATCGGTATACAGCCCCCCCCCCCCCCCCCCACTCCTCTGCCTCGAACAAACTCTTTCAAAGTTGCAATACTGAACTGGTGGAATTGCACGCAGCAATGCTTCGAATCCGTTACACACTATTCGTCCCTCTTGCATCCTTCGCCGAGCCCCATGGCTGCGTCCTTATCGCTCAGAGGCGCGCCGGCCACAACAAAAACTGGTTGTTATTTTTAACTCGCGGGTTGAGCGAGCCGGCAGCTCGCACTGAAAGCCCCTTCCGTTCCAGGTTGAGCGTTATTTATTTACAGCTTTATGCCGTCTCGATAAGTTAAGACGCCACTAGGAGTCCGCGCGATAAGCAACACACCAGACACGAAACCAGTCGCCCACTTATCGTTTTTATCTCGGCTGCACAACTTTCCGGCTGGTGTTCCATGACCCAAATTGTCCGTTTCATAATAAATGTGGTCACCAGTTTCATTTCAATGAATATTCAAGCCAATTATTCGGTGGCACATTCTGCGTTAGACGTTACAATGTAATATAGGTACATGTTGTATGAATTCTCGTTACGAGTTTAATGTCAGACAATATCTCAAATTTCCTGAAAAACCTTCACAAACTATGCTTCAGTTTAAAAATGTACAAAGTTTAGTAACATAAAATTGTATTTATATTACCAGTTTACGGTTTATTTGTTTTACACATTGAACGACACAGTTAAAACAATTTTATTCATTAAACTAAAAAATGTCTGCACTTAAAAGAGTATTGACACAATATGCAAGTAGATAATATCTAATACATAAAAATCTCGTTTTACGGTGTTTGTAATTGAACTCCTCCGAAACGGCTCGACCGATATTCGTGAAATTTGGTGTGCATATTGGACAGGGTGGAGAATCGGACAACATCTATTTTTCATATACCTAAATGTTAAGGGTGGTCCACCACAAGCATTTTTTCTACCCTACAAATAATTTATGTGGCAAAACAACGTTTGCCGGGTCAGCTAGTATTATATAAATATTGCATAATAAGTAATATCATACTGTTAAGTAAAATAAAAAAAGAAAAAATAAATAAATATATAAAATTAAGTAATTATATTAACATTTTTGATTTTATATTCGTTAGTGTTATGACAAATTTAGTAGCAGATAATTTTTATATATAAAAATAGAGGGAACATTAAATGTAATGAAAGTAATAAATCATATCAATAATGGAAATAATAAATCCTTAAACAATTACACATAGCTTATAATTGTTCACAAATTAAAACATTTTTATGTAATAACTGGCTGGTGCCTTCGATTTCGTCTCCGCATTAATACTTCGAGTAGCTTTTTTTCTTCTTCAAGTTCCTACGTATTTTGATACCAAAATTTATCAAAATTGGTTATCAAAACAGACATGAGTTAATTTGAGAGACCCTTGTATAAATTATAGCCTAAGTTTTATTCTGATGTAAAAGCTATGTTATTGTAAAGTTTTATTAAAATCCATCAGTACATTTTGCGTGAAAGATTAACAAACATCCATGCATATTAACTTTCGCATTTATAATATTGGTAAGGATAAGGATACATTTGAATAATTGGGCAACTCTTTAACAAAAACCGTACGTGAGAATAAAAAGGTACCGTGTATTGGCCGACGCTAATTTGTCAAAAACTAGTCCATTTTTTAATTTTAAAATTAGATTATCAGTACGTAATAATCGGTAAAAAATGAATTAGCAGACCGTAACCGAAGGCGATAGAGTGAACTAAGAGCCCACGGAAGAACTCAATTAGTGTTTAGAAGGTAAAAACTTATTAAAACGCCAAAATAATTTGAAACAGTCGGGTTCCCCCTTCATTTACATAGAAAGCGTACAGCAGTTTTAAACATTATCTTTGCTTGTGATATTCCTCAATTGAATTCTCTAAAGTTCAGTCTATAATAAATATTGCAAAGAATTTTCATGAATGCTACGTCAAAATACAATCGTCATGTGGCCTTATCAAAGACAAATCAATCGAACCTAATAAAACAATCGCCTACTTTAAGGCGAATGTTAGTAATTTATTTTTTGCGATACATATATTTATAATTGAAATAATTTTTTTTTATTGAATGTCAACATACATTATATTTCTGTAGACTCTAGAGGCTTGAATATTGTAGTCAATCTCAAATAAATTTAGATTTCTTTGAGAATAATAATAATAATGAAATCTTTCAGAAAACTATTTTCGAGATACCTTTTATAATGATTCTATTAAACAGCACATTTTATTCCCTTGTGGTTTTACTTTGGAGTCAGCCAATACTTGTAGCACACCTTACCTTCGTATTCGGACGTCCATAAATTGTAAGGAGCGTGGCCGCTTGAAATTTGGAATTCAGCCAGACACATAAAGAGCAGTTGTATTCGCGCATTATGAGGCCGGTGCCCTAAATTTGAAACTTGCATATTTGCATATTAAATATTTATTGAGAAGCGCTCAATTGTGCCACGTTGGACATGCAGCGCGTAGCGGAGCGTCCAAGCCGTATCAAGCCTAAACAATCATTTTAACACTTATTATGCATTTATTTATTTATTTATTTATTTATTTATTTATGTAACATCCATAAGTATTAAAAGGTGTTAGGGTATTAGTAAAATAGCATGGACCCTGTTTATAGGGCATAGTACAAAACAAATCATAAATTCGGAGAGAGCAAGATGTATCACTTAGGTAATTTAATTGGGTACTTGTATATGTAGTTGGTATTTTGAGAGGCTATTTATTTTTTTAGGTAACATTTATTAGATATTATGCATAAGATATTAACTAGACTGTAAATCTAATATTAAGAGTTGATCAAAGGCAATCGAGTGCTGCCAGAAAATATGAAAGAACAGATAATAAATTATGCAAATGACCAAAAATGCTTAGATCACGCTAATTGCTGCATGTACCCACATATTATAAAATGATTCGCTGTTTTAAAGTTTTCAAAACCATTAAGCGAGGGGGCGTGATAAAATCACCCGGCATTAAATAAACCAATCGCACATAGTAATAATGTAAAACACCTTACAAGTTTTGCATAAATACTAAAATACGCCGTGAACCGTTTTCACTTCGGCTCTTTGTTTATCAATGGTGATAATTGCGTAACTGAATGACATTGTCATACATGCGTACGGATCTATTGTCGCGGACGACGACAGAAAAAACTCATTTCCCCTGCTGAAGTATATTTTAAAGGTAAAATTTATACGGCGTAGCGTTGCGAGTCAAGTGTCGTTTGCACGGGCGCGTGTCGGAGTCGAGTTGAGCGGTCGAGCTAACAAATTCATGAGATACAAAATAGCGCCGGCTGGGGGAACTGCTTTGAAGTCGACTTATTTGGGAACGCGTATGGTTGCCCTTATTTAACGCACCTATGAGAGTAAAAGTGCTCTATACTTGATGATCGATACCTTGTTTTGACAAAGAGTCGATCTTTGGATACTTCCTTCGAAAAGGAAGTAAGCTTGTATTTTTTACCGTCATTTATCAAAATCGGAGAGGAAAAGGAAGATCGGGCACCGATGCTGCACAAATATCTATTCTATTCGTAGGAGACGTGTGGAACGATAGCTTTATACGGCTCTCAGAATAAAGCCTTTATATATATATATATATATATCTAAATCTTAAAATAATTCTATTTAAATAATATAATTATTCCGCAAACTGACAAAATCTGCAGGAATATTCAATCGTCGTTAATAAAAAAAAATACAGGTGTTGACCACATTCTATTTACATCAATGGAAGTCGTTTCTTTTTGTTATCGTCATGCAACCCACGTCGCGTTGTGGATAGTTGTTCACATAATATCACACAGTCCTCTCTTGGTCAAATATGTCTGGACGTAAACCAGAAAATTTAAAAAATATGTTTTTAGAAAAGTTCCCCTTCCACAGAACGTAACACTATCCTCAAACCCTATTGAAAATTAATGATCCGATGTGTAATTGTGACGTTTTTTTGCAGCGGTCCGCGCCGACCGCATGCGAGGTGGCCGCAACAAGTTCGGCCCCATGTACAAACGCGACCGCGCACGCAAGCTGCAGATGATGCGCCAGCGCCAGATAGCGGTGCAGACGCTGCGCGGCTCGCTCGGCGACGGGGGCCTGGTGCTCGGCTTCGGCTCGCCATACGCTTCGGTGCCGGTGAAGCAGGAGATCCAGATCCCGCAGGTGTCCTCGCTCACCTCCTCGCCGGAGTCGTCGCCGGGGCCAGCCCTACTCGCGGCGCCGCCGCAGCCGCCCCAGCCGCCGCAGCAGCCGCCCACGCATGACAAGTGGGAGGCGCACTCGCCCCACTCCGCCTCGCCAGACGCGTTTGCCTTCGACGCCCCGGCCACCGCCGCCGCCACGCCGTCCAGCACGGAGCCCACCAGCACAGAGACCCTCCGCGTCTCACCGATGATCCGCGAATTCGTCCAGACCATCGACGATCGCGAGTGGCAGAACTCGCTCTTCGGACTCTTGCAGAGCCAAACCTACAACCAGTGCGAAGTCGATCTGTTCGAGTTAATGTGCAAAGTGCTGGACCAAAATCTCTTCTCGCAGGTCGACTGGGCGCGGAACACCGTGTTCTTTAAGTATTTAAAGGTGAATTTCCAGATAAGTATGAGTATCCCATCCCGATATCCCTCCCCCCCGCCCGATCCCGGTGTACACCAATGCTGGCGAGTTTTGCAATGGCACGCTGCGCGATGTTTTCGTTTGTTACACTTTTAAGGCTTTGCGAATGTCCGTACATGTTGGCTGGCAGGCCGGCAAGGCGTGCGATGTTCTCGTGTGAGTGGGGGCGCGTGTGACGCATCGGGGACGCGGGCCGCTCGCAATCGATACGCCGCGCCTCGCAACTGGGTCAAGTTCCCACGACAAATGCGCCTCTATTCGTCGTGTTTCCATTGCACCTCCGCACTGAGGAGCTGAGCCATATCGCATTGTGCTTACGCGCGTAATTTTGTTATATTTAAGACCCGCGACACTCTTGATTCACTCATCGGGGTGTGAATGATCTTTGGCCGTTGTATGTAACATGTTCCTTGCTTAACCGGAAAAAGAAGCTGATGTTACTCTCGTGAGGAACTGAGGGGTCAATTGGAACAACTAAAACGCGCTATAGTCAATAGTGTTTCGTTAAAAAAAAACAGGGTTAGGATCTAGGATTGATGGAGAGACGAGAGAGAGATGTGCCAGGACTGGAGAGAGGAGCTGCGGCAGCGCTCGTACACTTACGCAAGCGACGCGCGATCACGTGGCCGTGCGCTGTTGCCGCTCCGCACCTCGGCGTCTCGCTCCGGCAACCAGCCTCCATTCGCGCCTAACAATTCTCATTTGCGCTGTGACGCGGCTTGTTTACGGCCCATTCTCAGAATTAGGACATCTAACGAAACATAAATCCCGCGTTCGCACATGTCTACGGAACGTGTAACGGTTATACGGTTTTATCAGAAAAAAAAATGTAATTCGTTCCGGCCTAAAGAGGCGCCGTTAGCCCGTCGGCCGGGTTCGAGTTCGATGTTGATGACCCGCGCTTTCTCCAGACGGGATGTGATGTAATGGTGCGTCGCGGGGCGGCAACGCTGCACTTTCGTCGCGCACTTGACACAGTGCTCTTGGCCGAGTTGCCGCGAGAAAGCACCTTTTACCGCGTAACCGTCGGTAATGGCGGTAAACACGTAACTAGGCGCGCGGCCTTTCTTCGCTTTCTCTTGCGTAACACCGGTTACGATAAGCTACATAATGCCGCGATGAACTTGAGCGGTCGATGACGCTGCCGCATTGTGTACGTCGTGCCATAAGCTCTATTTATTAAAATAGTGAAACATAAATATTATTCTAACTGTACAACTTTGTAATAGGAGTTTATTAGACGACATTCACTAAACGAAAAATGTGTACGAACAAAATACAATTTATTGTCTCCCGTATGCTTTTATTGTACGATTAATTTTTGAATGCTATAATTGAGACTAGTTTATTGACGATTAAAATATGGCGCCCGTCTAATAAAAATAAAACAAAGTATCGCGCCTCGGGCTTACATCATATCGCCTTCTGCGGTCTAGACATCTAGCCAAGTGCCAATTTCGAAACGGATAGTAATGACAATAAGCCAGTTAGGTAAATTGAGTGCTCTACATAATTTAAAACATATTCGACATTTCATTTGTGACTATTCCGGCCGGCCTACATTCTGCATTATGTAATGTGCCGCTTTCGGACTCTACAAATACGCGTTTTGATAAAGGTCCGCCTTATCCGTCAGATCCGCTTAGCGGAGGTTTAAATCGCTTACAGTTCTTAGAAGCGGAGCAAGGTTTACTATTGAATAATCATGCGCGAACACAGTTTGGTCGAGCCCTCTACGTATTCATAAATCGCGGTATTCTAAAATGAGAATTTTTACATATCGGATTTATCAGCGCTATGAATTATGGGTGATTCGTGTGAAATTCATTGTTTGGAGGTTAAAAAAATTAACTGTAAGAATGAACGTCCTCTATCCCCCTCGTACGGCGTAGGTAAGGCAAGTCTAGGCGTTACTTTATTGTTCGTCGCAAGGCAGCGCGACTTTGACCCACATCGCGAGCCACCACGGGCCAAGATGGCCGCTCTAGGGAGAGACCATTGCCGCCCACCACACAACACCTTGGCAAAGCTGCAGGCATCAACGGTGAAATAATAAATCCATTCATGGACCATGTGTGTGTACAAATCGAAATGTAAATATAAAAGCATTATCTCGTTGCGTCTCCTGCCAATCTCATTATTGCCACCACGCTTACCAAATTATTAAACGGTTTTATTTAGCTCGACCCGTACGGAATTTGTTTGTTTTGGGTCAAAATTAGAAATTGAAATTTAAGCACCTTCCCGTTGTCAGATTGATCTGAAATTTGGTACACACATTTAATTTAGATGACAATACAATATTGTAGTTTTCAGTGCACATAAAATAAAACCATTTAACTTTAAAGTTTTTAAACGGTTTTATTATATAATAACTTGTTAACCCGAAATTACCTTAAAATCGAAACGTAATAAGAGAACAGTGTACTGTTAGGAATTACATCATTGTTGCAACAGGTTTGTTGTTTCGAGTTGTTATTGAGAGGTCCCAACCGGAAATCGTTACAAAACGCGATAAGTCCCTGCTAGGGTTGGTACAAATGAGTTATGTCAGGCCCTATATAGGCTAGGACCCCGTTTCGAACGGAATCTTCAGGCGTAACCCGATGCAATCGCAACTTTCGAGATCGTTCCGATAGATTGGCCAGTGAGATTTGACCAGTCCGTTCTCGCGGCGGCGGGCGTTGGGCAAGCGGTGTGGTAACGAGCTCTAAAATTCGGTTTGTAGCATTTCGTAAACGGCGAATTTAACGCGCGCTCTGCCCCGTGTATTCTAATACAAACGGACAGAATGTGGGTCACGGAAACGCACGGAGATACCGGCCCACGGTGGATAACCGCAGCCCACAAGGAAGCCCACCTTGGACTCGCTGCTTCAATCCAATGTAGAGACGTATTATTCCGCAGAGCGCTCGTATTCGAGAAGTTCCGCGACGGCCCGCTAATGCGTCACCCGGCTCTGACGTCACACGACAACATCCCGCGCACGAACTGTGCCGTAAACGCCGTCTACATGTCGAGGCCCCCAGTGAAATCTTTCAAACGCACCGAGTAACGGGGTAGTACTGTAATGAGAATGTGTGTTACATGAAATGCCCACTGTGGTACGCTGTGCATAGCTTGCGAATGATGTGCTATTACTATGCCGTGTGGCGTCGTACTACTTCGTTACTGGGCGACTGGCGGAGGCTCCCGTCGGCATTGGGCGCGGCTGGTCTGCTGCGCAGGTATTGCAACGCGGTTGTCCTTTGTTCCAGGTCGATGACCAGATGAAGCTACTGCAGCACTCATGGTCCGACATGTTGGTCTTAGATCACCTCCACCAGCGGATGCACAACGGGCTCCCCGACGAGACAACACTGCACAACGGACAGAAGTTCGACCTCCTTTGCTTGGGCCTCCTAGGTGTGCCCTCGCTGGCCGACCACTTCAACGATCTGCAGAACAAACTGGCCGAGCTGAAATTCGACATACCGGATTACATTTGCGTGAAATTCCTGCTCCTCCTCAATCCCGGTACGTATCTCGCGTTGTGTAGCTCAATGCCGTCGCTGCGAATGTCTCGTGTCCCGTGCATTGTTTGCTTTCGCCGGTCGACTTGTAACGATGTCCTATTTAATTTTGAAGTGCAAACTTGGCGTTTCAGAGGTGCGCGGTATCGTGAACGTAAAATGCGTGCGCGACGGCTATCAGACGGTTCAGGCCGCTTTGCTCGATTACACGCTCACCTGCTACCCGTCAATACAGGTAAATAATTAATGCAACGCCCTACAAGAACAATCCTAATTATTTTTACAATTGCCTATCCCGTGCTACGTGCAACAAAAGATCAGGGATTTCGCTCAGCCGTATGGAATTTCCCTTAGTTTCCACTGGTTAAGAAACGACGGACTGAATGAACGTATGAACCAGCTGAATGACAGCTCTCATTCGAGTGGATAAATATTTCTCGCATTAGCTAATTGCGGTGACTCAGAAGTCAGTCGCGACATACTCTTAGGAAGTTTGAAAAACATGGGTTTTTCTCTATAATTTCCGTCTCCGTTTTCAACATCCTTAATGTGGGATACATTCCGAACACTCCAATACCCTTTTTACATAAACAAATTCCACATAACCAATGAACAGTGTTCATTTCGTCTCGCATATCTTTACTTATCTGGTTGCGAATCGAACAAGGCCCTATTATTCGGAGATTAAATGGAGTATTTGCACGAGGCATATGAGACCTTGCTGTATTTTCATCACAATGGTCGTCTAGCATTGACAGACTGATCACTATCTATCAGAACAGTGCTAGAGCACAGATGAAATATTGTCTTTAATGGATCTAGTTCACGGCACCCATTGAATTGTAAATTTATTAAAAAAAATCTTTGTGCCACATACAAAATTTATTCCGACTCCGCTGTTCTTCTAAGTCTTTGTTTCGCAACTCAGTGGGTCAACTAGGCCTCTAGTGTTTCCTTTGTCTAGTTCCCCCGGCGTGGCTACGTCGAACATTATTCACATCTGAGATTACTATCGTATCCGACTTTGTTGCTGGTGATTGACAAATACATTAAATATATTTCATCATACACAGTGTATACATTATAAACCCCTTGTATCCTTTGACAACGAACAGGATAGCCGCACAAAGCCTTTCTGACATTCATTTCTCCTAATGTAAATTTGAATTATTTAGTTAAACTGAAGGTGATTTAGTTTCTCGTAGCAACACTATTATATTTCATGAAACGGTGGTGTTCCAGGACAAATTCAGCAAGCTGGTGATGGTGGTCCCCGAGATCCATGCGCTGGCTGCCCGGGGTGAGGAGCACCTGTACCAGCGGCACTGCGCCGGCCAGGCCCCCACACAGACCCTCCTCATGGAGATGCTGCACGCCAAGCGCAAGTAGGTGTCACCACTTGCCCATATAAATGTTTGTCCGCTAATATCCCTACGCAGTCTCCACAATATAGAAATGTTTCAACCCGCTTTCCCTCATAAATCTTATCCACTCATCATCTTCGCATACGATTGCAATGAATATATAAGTATTTCCGAGTATCTATTTAAGATCACCCCTCTTCCCACTTGTTTCAATGTGTTCAGTGAGTTGCTTGAGCAACGCGCCCCCCGACTTGCACTGTCCCAATTCAGAGATGCATGTCACAAATCCAGTAATGTGTCTCGTTCTAGGCCAAACGGAGGCGAAATGGTTAACCGGAACGCCGAGCACACCTCGACTCTAGACAGATTGTACGTTACCTTATCTCATATGAGAATATCATAGTTTATGCCATACTTCATGTATTCGCATTAACACGAGGAGGACGAGTTGCCAGTTTGACGCTATTTATATAAGCAAGCTATACAAAAAAAAAGATATCGCTCGCCGCTTCTCGATCATATGGAAGGGACCTTTATACTCTCCGTGCATTTAGGGAGTATTTCAAAACTTATATGCCTGCGCGTGTTTGTTTGCTGTGCTTGAATTTGTGTATAACAAAGGGAATAGTTTAGATAAAAATTTGTATTTGTAAAAAAAATTACACTGTTGACAAATAATTTACTGTTTTCTCTTCAAATTTTTGACAGTTAATAAAAAGCTTTAAGCTAAAATTTATTTATTGTTAAATTTTTAAATTAATTTAAATATAATTAGTTTAATAAATTTAAGTAATATTCTCTGTTATATATAGTGTTTACCTTTTTGTATTTTCAAACTTACCAGTTAATGCTTACTATAAACAAATTTCTTTTTTGCTTGATATTTAAATTTCTAATGTAATCTTAAAATCGGATCACGCAGTTTTATTCTAAATAGTTAGGTGTCAGTGTTAATTTTTTAACAATTACAGCATACTTCTAATTCAAATACAAATGGCTTGTTTACTGGCAACTCAGATCTCACTGACCGCTTTTACGGTAACATTGGTTATTTGCAGCGTACTGTGTTACTTTTTTCCATTAGTGATTTAAAACCCGTATTATTTATTATTATTGCTTTTTACTCTACCAATCACTTGCTCTACATTCTGGCAATCTGTTCATATCTCTAGCTATATTTATATCATTGTCGTTATTTGGTTACATTTAAACATTAAAATTTTTAAATGTTCGGTGCCAATATTAGTAAAGTGATTTAATTGGTTTGTTTTTTTACGCTATGTTTGAACATAACGGAATATTTACTTATATGTTGTTGCTATGCGCACGAAATAAATATAGGACTGACATTATTATTTATATCAAATGTCGTATGCATTAACTTGTTACAATTAGACAGTATTTAATTATAACTGAGATAAAACGTTATAAATAGTTCTGTTAACAGAATAAATCCGCTCCCCTCGAATGGATCCCTTTGGTTTAACTGCCTTCATTTTATTTATTCATTTCGTCGTCAACTAAAATAAAAAAATAAAATAAAGGCAAACCGTATTCATGTATTTTTCTATAAATCGACGCACCAATTTAGTTTATCTGAAGTCATTGATAATTTGACTTATATTTTAAGTGTTGGTATTTAGATATACATACGTAATTTTATACAAAAAATTATTTCGTTTTTGGAGTTTAAACTAGCCACGTAGAATGTACCTACATAGTAGTGATACGAAAATAAAATTAATTTCACCGCAATTTTCCTTGGAAAATTTGCCGTTTAATGGATTTTGGCTTGCTTATTCTAATGACACTGTGCTAATTGAATGAATCATAAATTTCGATCGAATTATTGGTGAAATAATTACCACATCAAACGTGCAAAAATATTATCTTTGGTCTTATGAATGAATTAAATATCCTCTCAGTTCAGGCGTTGGCATGTCTTCCATTTAGCTCGACTAAACGCTGTGCTTTATTGAGTTGGTCTCGGGCCAAATTTTAATCTTATAACGTGTTGTGGCAAGTACTGGCCCGCTTGCACATTTTGTTGACCCAATTCCGTATTGTGCCGAACAATTGACCTAAAACTCGTCCGTCTGACTCTTTCACATTCTCGGGGTTGTTTTGCCTCGTGCATATATTTTTATGCGAACCGTGAACAAACATAGACGTCCTGGCGTAGACTTAATTTTATGGAGCGAACGCTTCGAATGGCCATTCAAGCCACGAGCTGTGGCGATCTCTGTTGATACGCCGGCTCGTACGCACAAAAAATGCGTGAGTGTGACTCGAAAAGCAAATAGCCCTTATTAACGAGCGCAACAGGCCATTAATTTCGCCTTAGTCATCACGCCCCTGAGCCGTTGTGAAAATGTTTCAAGGGTGTGCTCTCTCTGTCAGGTGCGGTTTCCTGCCAACCGACACGATTGAACCGCATTCGCCAATATAGAGTAAGAATACACTTTGTTGTGCCTCGAACGAGCTTGCCCCACGAACCCTGCACACACGCAAACTTCGCCTAGCACCACTAGCACGCACTTACTCTCACAAGGAACTAACGTTATGACGTCACAGATAGTGCAGTGCGGTTTCACTGTCTCTCCTTTTATTAACGTTTTTATTTTAATGTTTAATATTTGAACCACAGCCGTCTCTCAAGATTCGGCTGTAAATTTTTCAAGCATTCTCCTAAATAATATGGTTTCTCAGTAATAGATAATTCTCTATAGTCGACATAACGGATCAAACTGAAGCCATTAAGTTTACTACTGTAATACTTGATGGGAGGAAAGTAACAACGACATGTACATTTTGATATTTCTTTAGAATTTATCTCGCCAGTCTCGAGTGTATTTTTCCTCGATCACAGCAAATAATTAGTTTGCGGTTCAAAAAAAACCGAGCGAGATTTAAACTCGAACTATGAGTGGGCAAAAGGAAAAATCTTAACCTTTTCGAATCCACTTAAAACGCAGCGCTTTAACAGATTGAGCCAAGGTCAATACTTTTACTTTCCAACGTTGTTTACAGACGCACGTTTATCATCGGTTCATTTGCAGCTCGCGGCCAGATCTCAATTTGTTACTTTATTATGTTATTAGGGCTCGGTTCCTTAACGGGCCGAGGCTGCACATTATTTTGCCATCTCCGACCCAAGCGTTCGTATCAAAATTACTAGGGTAGATAATAAAGAATAATGAAGCAGATAAAAGAAATAAAGCAGATGAAAGAAGAAAAAGAGTAATAAAGTAGACGTCATCACGGATCGAAATTGTAGATTTGGTGGAACAAACATTTGAATATCAGTTAATATGTATTTAGTTTTGTCATGACTCGGCAAGGGTTTTCTTTAACTTGTGTTCTATTTTGAATTTGTCACGCTTCCGATACGGAGAATTTGATCCAAACTCCGTCTCTTATCAAAGAGTTTTTGCGAATTATACATAATTTAAAACGTTTTCGTGTTATTGTAAAAAGAAATACACGCTCACAGTCGTTTGTCCTCAATTTTTGTAGTTCAGTAATCATTGTAGTCAGTTGTTTAACTTGTTTTAACCCTCACATTTCGACTCAATCGTTAAGGATTGATATATTTTCAATGATCTTGTCTATTATAACAACTGAAACATCTAGTTATAATGATGTATATATATATATATATATATATATATATATATATATATATATATATATATATATATATATATATATACTTATAACTTATAATATAAACTATATATACTTATAACTTATAATTATAATGACTCAAATTCTTTGTTTTTTTACATAGGAACTCATTTCACCACCTTTTTTTTTATTTTTCTGCTCATAATGAGAGTCACATTTGGTCATTTGTTTCTTTATCACAGCAACAGTTTTGGCACTTCTAACGACTAATGCTATCATATACTGCACTTGACCATTACACGTTATTATAGACGCTTATTATCATAACAGCTAGCAAATTGAAATGTATTGTTTGCTTTAGGACGTTTTTTAATGCAAACTCTTTATCCGAAATCTCCGAAATTGCTCGCTATCAAAAATTGTCTCCACTGTAATTTATTCCATTATCTATAACAGACTACGGTTTTATCCGAAAACCCAGACAACTGTGGCTTTCCTGTAAATATGTGTTTTGGGAAATTGGCGCGTTGCTAGCAGCATAAGTGGTCGAGTAACACGAGCGGTCTATGTTCGCAGATCTTGAACTGCCAGTGAGCCGCGAGGAGATGGAATTCGCGCCGGGCGCTCCCTGGGACCGCATCGGCTAGAAAGTTCTACAAAAATATTACTTATCACTTAGTTTTAGTCTGTAACTTGGTGTGTGATTAATCATAATAAGTTATTGCACCGAGCGCCGGCGAAAGCGCCGCGCGTGCCTAGTCCCAATACCGATAAAGCAAAAGTTATAACTGTTTAAATCTCTTCTACATAAACAATACAGGAGCTCGTACACCATTCTCGTGTAGCTACAATTTATTTATTGAGCAGCCAACGTTGTTTTTATTTCGAAATTTAATTAAGCTTGTATACATAAAATAGGCTATAGTGTATGTTAACACCGGTGCGAAGGGAAAAATAACAGTACATTTAGGAAAGCGTCTGTGATTATAAATGATGTTTGGGAAACCGTTGCAATTGTAGTTGACGGTCGTGTTGTATAAATTGTTAGTTGTAATTGCAGTACCTAAGCGAGGGCGGCGGAAGCCGTCTTCTTGTTTCGTGTTACTTATTAACTTTACGGTTTAACTTCTCTTTAAGACTTCAGTGCACCTTGCATGTTACCCGCGTCGGTAACCGCCGGCCATCGCTGGCCTGGCAGATACTAGTTCAGATTTTATGGAGAGTTGACATATGAAACGTTTGATCATCTATATTATATCACTATATTATAAGGAAATTAATTATTCGCAAATGAAATCGTGTTTTAAAATAATAATTATTAACACAGTTGTCCCCTGAAGATGTTTATCTGAATGTTGTAATTAAATTCATCATTGATAATTTTATCGGCCGTGTCAGTACAAAAGAAATTATAACCATTGTAAATATTATGTTAGCACACAATAGTGATTTATTCTACTTATATTGTAATTATGTAAAATATATTTCAACGTACGTGCAAGTGGAGAGCCTTAAAAATCATAGATTTTTAAAAAGATATGGGTACTAGCGTCTACCGGCCGATGGCTAGCGAGGCGATGTATTTTTATAAAACATATTGTTCTATATTAACATATATAATATGTTAACTGAAAGTACATGATTTCGTATTTTTCTAATATAATATAATTATAGCGTACGTAAACAAGTGTAATGATCAACCTTTAATGTGGAAATGGTTATATCTAATTGTTTTAATGTAATCATATGACATTGTCGCAGCGGAACAAGGCTACGTATGAGTTGCGCGCATTGTTTTAGTTGGTTCCGTTTCTAATGGGTAGAGCGCAGCGCCGTAGCTAGGACCATTCTCGGGAATGTTACGATGTTTTGCTTATATTTTTGAATATTGTTACGATTTATTTTTCAAATAGCCCCATGCAAACCGTACGCCAGTCCATAGTATTTTTAATACAACTTTGTTTTGCGGCGAGGCTGCCGGGCCCTAGCTACAGCTCTGTTAGAATGAGTCCACGATTATGGTCAATTGTGCACTTGAGTACGTTAAAATGAATTTTATTTGATCGAAAATGTGATTAATGGTTTGTGTTTCAAAGTGAATGTTTATATATTTTTAAATTTTAATTATCATAGTGTCATTGCACCAAGTGCGAATGTATAGTAAGGCCGCATCAACGAGTAAGTTTAGTAGATACTATTATAAAATATAAAGTTTTTTTTTGTTTTGGCTTAGCGGCACTTTTCTATCTAGGCTTGTTAAACGTAATATTTAAGTTATGGCACCATGTTTTTGTCTATAATACCGTCCAGTGAACACAACTATTATTGTCTTGCATAAAAAAAATAAAAGAGTAACAAAACTTTAGGCTCTAAAAGGCATTTTATCTTTTGCGCCATAAAATTACGGTTATTTCGGGCGAGCGGAATTTGGATGCAACTTGTTTTACTACCGCCCCAAGTTTTTTTTTTATTATCGACAATAGAATGGAAAGTAGTACTTGGCGTATAATTGAAGTGCAGATAATTATATGTATATATATAAATATCAACTCGAAAAAGTTCCTGGAAACAATGTTGTGGTACGTCGTTTTATAGATTATACAAGATAGGGGTTTCAGTTTGTGTGAACAAGCAATTTTATATGAGAGCAAAAGTTATGAAAGCTGTTTCCGTATCGAGAATTTAGAGGATTCGTTTCTAGTGCGTGCCCAGGCTGGACATCACATTGGGCGATTGCTTAATATGAACAAAACACAGATTAGGATCGTTTAGAAACCCCAGACGTGTTCGTTTATTCTAAAATAGAGATAATTGAGTAGAGTTGTGTGTGAGGCTGCGAAACTGATATATTCCTTTCGTAACAGCCTCCTGCTTGTGAAACACTCCTCTAAGAAATATAGAGTTGTTCCGTAAATGAAATATTGAGTCCATTAGAGTTTACTCGCAGTTTCACACACGTAGAAGAATTATCGAAGGCAAAGCTGATCTGTGATGGTACGAAATAGTTAGGTGCGTTAGGCTGTGGGTTTTGTCCGTACTATGGAGGGAACGCAATTACAATTTGAATTTTTCAAGACAGCTTTAAAAATTAAATTGCTCTTATGGTTTGTCTCTTCCTCGACCATTCGTAAACAGGTATCACAATGTTGATAGGCCTTTTCCTTTAAATTTCATTTAATAGTTGTGCCTTATGTAATTTACCAAACGTTTGTTACCATTTTGCAGTATTTTTGTAAACCAGAACTATTTTTATGTATTATTTTTTAATATTATACAGTATTAATTAAAATAATTCGATCTATACGATATATAATTCAAAGTAATATAATCTAAATTTGCCTTCGAAAGTTATTTTTTTATCTCCAGCCTGCCCTATATTTTTATATTTATTGTCATATGTGTGTATTATCGTTTCATTTTTTTATTTTATTTAGTTTATTGTTTTATTTTAATATAAATCGTTCATTACTATTTATGTCCAAGAAGTTTCTTAGTATTTTTAATATATGCTATACGAATGTGTATATTATAAATAACATTATATACATTAATATATACTACCACGTTCAAAAAATATAAATGCCGATGTAACGAATAAAGATTAGTCCATAACTTTACAGTGGTGATCACGTATAGATGTTATGTCGTGTGCCATTTGAGAGATGTTAAAGGTTTATATGGCAACGGTCGTTGGGGTATAACGGATAAATAAGACACGTTGACCACCCGTAAATTTCTCCAAAACTTCAACACGGCTTTGAAACCGTCTTTCTTAGTAAATTAATCGTGGCTCTCTATTTCAAGTAAAAACGCTTGTGCCCTTAATAGATTAATCCCCAGCTGACCGCTCGTAGGGGCTTCGTCCTATTTCACACGCCAACCGATTAATTTAGAACTTCACGGAACGTTGTCCGACAATAATGGTCAATAAGGTGCCAGTGTTCACGTTATCGATACTTCTTCAATCAGATTGATCGCTGCTTCAGTTCTACGTCGTTTCGCTTTCACTTTCGTTCGATGGTTTTCATTTAATTGAATAATAGATTTTAAATCTATGCTTGTAACATTAAACCCACTATTTACTTGTAAGTTTAGATTGTAATATACAGCGACAGTGTTGTATAGTTGTCTAGACGTTTGTGTAAGTAATATTCTATATTTATGAATTAATATAAGTATTTTAAATTGTGTAAGGTACACGAGAAGTGTTCTATGTAAATGTACATTTTGAGTTCAATTAGAGGTTAAGGTAGGTAGATAGTTAAGTAGTAGATAGTCGGTGGAAGAGCGCGTGCGGGCACTGACTGTTCCTTCGCTCAGATTCGCCGGCGCGTACTCTGGCGGCGTCATCGGGCCCCGGGCCTCGACACTGTTCCCAAAAACGACCATCACATCACACTTTCATTGCATTGTTGACGACACGGCAGGGCGGGCGAAACGGACGCGGCGTCACACACATTCCAAAAACAAAAACGCTAAGTGGCGCGCGACGACGTCGCATTACTTTATGTAAGTTAACCACTTTGTTGTTCATTAACGATAAGCTAGATTTAATCGCTGTGGATGTTGTTTAATTTAGTCTGTGTATAGTATACAATTGGTTTTATGTATTTGTGAGGAAGTGAATTTGAGCGAATCGACAGGCCTCTGCCTGAAAGGTTCATATTTAGACATATAAATCTTTAAGCGATTATTTTGCACTAAAACATCATATCGCGAGCCGCGTTAATTTTATCTTTTGTACATATAGGTAGGGCGAGGTATATACAGTTTTCATTTGATTTTTAAATGGTTATTGTTAAATCTGAAAATGAGGGGCTGGCAAATACCAATGCAATTTCGCGCATTTGCTGTTAAAGTTAATAAAATAAATCAATCTGATACCATAGATGTATGCCTATTTATGTGTTAATGTTGATTAAACGGTGAGGAAGCCCTGGCCAGGGCTAAAGAGGAGGGGTTCGAAGTCCATGTGCGGGATTGATAGTCCCCCATAAGTGCACTGGCGACCCCTCCGCGCCGCCAGTGGAACGCAACCCTCGCATCTATATGTATGTAATTACGAAGTGTTATACCTAAGTACATCCCTTAAGCTCAGCCATTTAAGGCTCTTATTATTGTAAGGTTGCTACCATTTTAACTGATTAAAGCGAAAAATAATCATATTATTTCTCGAACACACTAACGCCACTTACGCAATTTTATTTTTATAGATTTATTGTTGCTGTAATTATATTTTCAAATAAAAGATACTGCAATTGTTACCAATTGTTTAATTATATTAACCAACAACATAGTGTAATATTTCCACTTGTTATAGTCCAGTTAGGAATGGAGCAACCGGTGTATGAACCACAGCCACATTTATACCGTGTCATTACCTCACATTACGTCTTTTGTAAAATATAAAATTATAGTTATTGTTGTCGCTAAATCTTTAAAGTTATTATTATTATCAATATTGTTTCGAGGTGTCATCAAGTTTCAAATTGTAGACACAATGATCTATTTTTAGACGGCTACATAGTTACATGTATGTATAAGGCGGTGTAAAACGTCAATGTATTTATTTTCATGGTGATTAATAAATATTGTGAGACGCACGAACGCGCCGGCGCCGTGGGCCAGTGCCCGCGTCGCCGCCCGTTATTGTAGAAATAAATCATATTTTCGTTTAAATCATTGCGTCTTTATTTGTCAACTCCACAAACAATTCGTGTATTATCAATAAAAACACCTCAACCACATGTACCACTCCATACCAATATTATAATTACGAAAGTAACTCTGTCTGTCTGCCTCGCTTTCACGCTAAAAGTACTGAACCGATTTAAATGAAATTTGGTACACAGGTAGTCTAGAGCCTGAGAAAGGATAAAGATATTTTTTAATTGGAAAAAGGGTTATAAACGGTTCTTAAAGGGGATAGATATTTATTTAAGGGCTGTATAGAGCGTGTCGTTACCATCGCGACAATAAATGAACCACACGTCTAACGCTACTTGCCAATAATCATGAAAAAATGTTAACGATAAACAAAATACATAATTAAAAAAAAATATTTTTGAAACAAACTAATAAGTAAAAAAGAAACAAAATTTGTAACATCCTATACAACTCGCGCCACAGCGTCGCTTTACAAGCCTCTCCTTCTAATAGTATGTTTTGTCTCTTAAATTCATTCAATCCATTCATATGCTTTGTGACCTTTACAAATGACTTTACGTTATAATTTTATACGTAAGGGTGTTCTAAAATTCTTTGTTTTAGAAAATTTTATAACTCTGTAAATATTGGTGTTTGAAGAATGTAAATGTATAATAAAATTTTCAAAAGTTATCCCCTATATGCGTGTTCATTTATTGTAAAGACACGCTGTATATATACAAACTTTTAAAGTTAAAAGCAGTACTCAAAATATAATTAATAATAAAAAGAGAATGTATATTTATGAAAAAAAACTACATTAGTTATTCCTTCAAGCACAAGTTTATTGGATATTTTTTTAAATAAAAATATCAAATGAATAGATCATCAATTATGCCAAATCTATCATGGTTGCATTCTTAATGAACCATCAAGCCTTATTGTTTCTCCATTGAGCATTGGATTTTGAATTATACTCTGTACTAGTAAGGCATATTCATGGGGATGACCAAGACGGGATGGAAATGGCACCGAGGCCTCCAACTGCTTAATAGCTGGCTCCGGCAGCTGATCCATCATTGGTGTGCGGAATAAGCCTGCATTTAATGAAAACAAATAGTTGAATATAAAAAAAAAGACAGCAACAATTTCAAATAATATGTCCTTGACAAAGAGCACTTAGAAGAGATAAATGACATAGATAACAATTCTAAATATATTTCCAGACAATTTAATCACTTGATCTTTTACATGCTGATGTGCAATCATTTGTATAGTAATTTTAATTTCATGATTACGAAATATTAATTTTGAATATATTTTTCAAACAATGCATAGTGAGATCTCTAGCTTCTTTGAAAATTTTATTTGTATCTTCAACTAGTAAGTTGTTTACAGTAGTAATAGATGTCGAAGTCGTCAACTATAATATAGATATTGCTAGTGGTTTTACAACTTCATTAGTAACATGAATTGTTGATCTATAAGTAGGGTTTGAAAATTATTTTATTTTTAAACTATGGATACCTAATGATTTAGAAAATTATTATTAAATTTTATGTATATTTTAATTTTTTCATATACAAATATATAAATAGGCTTGCCACTACAGCATTACATCTACAATCTATTCGCTAATGCATTTCAATTTATAGTAATAATGATATTAGTGCCAGATTTATTTTAAAATGACAACTTGACTGATGAAAACAGATACTCCTCTGTGACATTGAAAACTCGATAAGCGCAAAGAGATGAATTACATATAACGGGAACATGAAAAGCTATTATATAAACCTAACCTGGTGCAATGGTAACAACTCTTATTCCCTGCTTGGCAAGGTCCCGAGCAATAGGCAATGTCATACCCACGACTCCTGCTTTAGAAGCGGAATATGCAGCTTGTCCTATCTGAAATTAATATTATTGTTAAAACAATCAGCAAGATACTATTGTGACATTTTGTTATGAAGATTGATAATGAAGGGACAATTTAATAAAAGATCTAGTGATCTGTTAAGATGTTGTATTTTTCCCTTCAGTTTAAAGTACAAATCACTGGACTTGCTCAGATACAATATAGTCCAAAAATATAAAATAATAATAAGTTGGGCGCCTTGTCCTACGGTGGTAGGGCCACATAGCAGCCTCGGCTGTTGCATGAATGGGCAGGCCCGTCCGAGTTAGTACCACGACCTCACAGAAGACCAGCGTAAAGTGGAAGTATGACAAATACTTTAGCGTTTCGTCTGGTGAGTGAGGTAGCCGGAGCCCAATTTTCATAAAGTTGTCAACGCCTCTGTAACCCTCAGGTGTAGCAGATGTCAATGGACGGCGGTATTCACTTACCATCAGGTGAACCATCTGCTCGTTTGGCAACTATTCACATAAAAAAAAATATAATAACAGACTGTTGTAATAATTAAATTTAAGTATCTCAGGGAGTTGTGAGTACATGAAACCTACACATTACTTTGTGCAAGCATAAAAAGTATAGAAACTAAAAGTTATGCAATTCAAGTACAATATCCAATCAGGAAGGTAAATTTAAATCTATGTCAGCCAGCCCTGTGGCATAGGTCAGCATTCAGCTTGGAATTAGTAGAGAAAGTCAGCCCAAGTGTAGTGTGTACAGCCACACTGTTGGGGGGTACACAAAAGTTAATCGAGCAGCAGCTCAGACCAGATTGCCAGCCTTCAGCATCCACCATGAAGGACAACAAATCCATTTTCACAGGAATCACACAGATAATACAACCAGGGACATGTTCTGATTTCAACCTCCAGCCAAAGATAAAATAATAGATCCACAAAATCAATTTATCCAATTTCAATTCATACCGGAGGCAGTCTCAAATGACAAGAACTGTCAAATGAACTTAACTTTTTCATTCGTCCTTTAGAACAGACTAAGATTTATAGACCATGCTGCCTAGTCTTCAGAAAAAACAACCATTTAGGCAAAGTGATGAAATTACCCATTACAATATTTTTGTTCTTTTTATAGTAACTGTCATTTTATATACAGCATTTAAAATTTGAAAGCTTAGTTTAAACATATCAATAAATAATTGATTATGAAATTTAGCACTAGGATATTTAATTAAATGAAATTTACTTTAATTTTTTTCGTTCTTTAAAGTTGGCAAGTTAGATGGCCTAAGACCTTATGTTAAGTGGACAGTGCAGCCCATGATGCATTATCATGTTAAAAAAGGGGGCCCTGGTTACCTTACTCACCAGACCAAATGTGAAATTATATTACTTCTACTTCATACCAATATTCTGTGAAGCTTGGTCCTTCCCCAGTCAAGCCTGCCTATATGTACAGTAGCAAAAGCTGCTGTGTGATCCTACTAATTAAAATGTCCTAAAATAATAAAAAAATGTATTGCAATATTTCTATATTCTAGAAATGTAGCCATGAAATCATGACACATTTGATGCAGTTAACTGATTAATTAATTTATAATAAAATCTAAAGACTACAGGTAAGGTAAGGAGTATACTTGGCCATCGAAAGCGGCTACACTGGCTGTGTTAATAATGACTCCCCTTTGTCCATCCACATCTGGTGCATTTTTTCCAATCAGCCCGGCAGCTAGTCGTATAACATTGAAAGTACCCATTAAATTGACCTGCAATTATTTGTAATTTGATATAATCCTGAAGGCCTTACTCATTTACTAAATATTTAGTTTTTAGACAGTAAAAATATCAGAAGGAATCTATTCCTCCTGATATTTATATAGTTTCTCTAGAAAATCACTTATGAATGACATTTTGACAAATGAAAAATATTTATTATACATTGAAAATAGGATGAACATACAAAGTAGTAGGATATTTTGAATAATAATATGAAAAACTATTATGCAAAACCAACTTGGGGCAATTGTGAGAACGCTCATACATTGATTCCATCTAATATATAAAATTCTCGTGTCACGGGGTTCGAACTTGAACTCCTCCGAAACGGCTCGACCGATTTTTACCAAATTTTATATGCGTATTCAGTAGGTCTGAGAATCGGCTACTATCTATTTTTCGTCCCCCTAAATGTTAAGGGGGTAGTCCACCCTTAAATTTTTTTTCTATTTTTTATATAAAACTTTTTGTTTCTATTTTTTATGACACAGCATACAAAAATACATACAACCCTAAATTTTCACCCCTCTACGCAGACGTAGTCGCGGGCAGCAGCTAGTATGATATAAAAATTATTGCATATATTTTAGCAATGTCTGACTACATATATTTTAGTACAATTTAAAGAAGTTTTAATGAACACATACCTCAATAGTTTTTTGAAAGAGGTTCAGGTCAAACGGCTGATTTTTCTTAAAATTATAAATTCTACTTGCTGATGCTACCCCTGCACAATTGACTGCCACATCAAGTCGGCCAAATTTGTCAACTGTAGTCTGTAAGGCATTTTTTACATCTTGCTCTGATGTGACCTAATATAAATTTTAAAAACATATTTATTAATAATAACATGCAAAATATTATAACCAAACAGACCTGTTTATCAATCAATTATCTAAAACTTTTAAGATGCATTTCTTAAGTTCTAATACTTCAGAGTGAATTAAATACTCATGTGTTGGTAAAATAATTGTGTGTAAAAATTCTTTATCAATAATGCTATACTTAATACAGGTACTAAAGAAACAAGTTTTCTATCATAGTAGAATCTGAGAGAAAATAAATTATTAAATGTGCTAATTGAAGTAAAAAGCATTGAATGTTACACATACAATTTGAATGCATACAATTACATTATAATGGAATGCAGATTTGTTTATTTTAGGATGTGCATTAAATATGTCGTATAGTATAGTAGTTTTCTATAATGCTGTATTAGTATAGTAGCTAATACAGCATTATATAAAACATCAATTATATTCTAATATCATAACATTTGTACAAAAGCGAATAAAACATTACATTTAATTCTACAAAAGCAGCATTTTCACCGAGCTGTTTTGCAATGTCTGCTCCAGAGCTAGAAGGTAGGTCACAAATAATGACCCGGCCTCCTTGCTTCACCAGTAACTCGGCAGTGGCACGTCCTAAGCCCGAAGCACCACCAGTGACAAAACCCACTAGACCCTAGAATATTTATATTATAAATTTATAGGAATTTAAGCTAACCTATAAGCTAAACATAGTTTTAATTTACAATGTTGTAATTACTAATCGTATGACAATGAACGCCATTTTATCGATAGTTGAATCATAAATTATATTCTACTTACTTTAAACATCTTAAGATAAATAACAACGATAAAAGGTAATTCCTAAAACTTTTACTGATTCACACGCGCGTTCAACTCAAACTATCCTAAACTTATACAATCATTATAAACCTTGCTAGATATTCTTATCAGCATATCAGCAGCAATATGTTAATAAACATATTTAAAATTTCAGTTATTTGTTACAATGACTGTGATAAAATAGCTGTCTGTATAAAAACTATAGTCATAGCTATACTTATATACAGAGAGTATATACTTATATCCCGTAATTGTACCTAATTACTGATTCGTGCATATGAAAATGAATATGACGAAGCAAAAACTATGTAAAGGTGAAGGAAAAATACCGAAAAAGATCACATTTTAATTAAAAGTCGTCAATTGATGACATGTTATACTTAGTTTGAAACTAATTTAATTTTTCTTTCCTTCCCGCCACACTAGATAATATGCTAAGGAAGCGTTCGCAGCGTAAGCACTTCAATAGAAATAATTATATTAAAAAGAATAGAAATACTAAAAAGAAAAGTTTGGTTTGTGAAAATTGCAAAACAATAAAGAAAATACTGCGAGCACAATATTACCTAATTTACAATTTAGTTTTATATGTTATGACAAAATAAAACGGATAATAACTGATGCTATAAGTTTTTTAAAACGTATCATAACGCACAAATGAGATGAGGATAGATGTGTCTCTAAACCGAATAGGTACGTAACGACTTTTTGTGCTAAACTACTTTCAGGTGAGATGGCTTCTATTGTTGTTAGGCATTAACGATTTTTTCTTTCTGGTCTATCCCGTAGATATCTACCGTTGGGTTAGCCCAACAATAGAAAGCTTCAAAACTATAATAATACGTACGACCTACGAACTATTCAAATTGAATTTGAATAGTTTGTAGGTCTCTTCACGTAACAATCACAAAGAGGTTTCATGTAGGTGCAGAGCACTGAGGTGATAAAAAAGGTATTGATTCACATCATTAAATCCTTGTCGTTAAACATCTGTTAAAAAAGGTTGTGACAGTTGCCAGTTTCAGTACGTTATAAAGTACTCTGGACAGTTGCTTACCATCAGCTTTGACGGTGCAGGTTCTGTTTCCTCCTAGGACAAATATTTGTCTAACCTGCATATCATTAAGGTAATATCAAAAAAAGAAAGTAAAGTCTTCCACTTTCTTAAAAAATCAAGGCATTTCACAATTAATTACATGTCCACAAGTAGCATCCTCTGAGTGGGTATACGCAAATATCATTCCTCTTGACCCTGTTCTTCTCGCTATAAAAGATTCTGACTTGCGTACGTCCTCGCTCGTGTTTTAAGGATAAACTACCGGTTCCTTCATCCTTACGCACCATTATGCATTGTTGATATGAAATAATATAAAAGAAGAAATAATATGAAAGACATGATACTAGTATAGACTGGACCGGTTCGTGTAAACTCCACAGAAACTCATTTCTTCGATTTCGTGTCGGTTGGTCAAACTCTGCCGGATCGAAATCCTTATAGCCGATTAAGCCAGACTGGAAATGTCTATAGCGCACTACACTGTACTGGGAATCCCTTTAGCTTACAACGTTAGACTGGAAATCCCTGACCGTGATCGTTAAATATAGGAAACTAGCGCCTTCCTTAGATGGATACTCTCAAATTAATGCACATATCTCACGGTTATTTTCCAAACCATTGCCTCTTCAAAGTGGTACTCTCAAATTACAGTGAAAATAGAACAAATGTCACACTGCGGATGGGCGTACTTCATGTATTTTCGTTTTTTTTTTGTTTTTTATTTCGAAATATGCAGGTTTCCTCACGATGTTTCTCTTCACCGCCGAGCACGTGATAAGTCACCACTTAAAATGAACAATTTCTCTTTTACGAACTCAGGTTGCTCGAGTAAAGGCGAGCGCCCGGACACTGAGCTATCACGGCTTATATGTTAGTACGTAAATAAGTTTAATACGGGGATGATAAAGACGGATGCGCCATGAGATTTTTTTTTACCTACACTTATCCTTAAGTGACAAACATTTGCCGCCCTGTTTTTTCTTATGTATTTGTTCTATTTTTTATATGCTTTATAGTCCAAGATCCCAGAGCCGCCAGAGAATATTTTCTGACGTATTTTCTGACGAACGAAATGTGTCTACTGTGTAGTGTTAGTATTTACTATCGCATGCCTACCTGTTAGCTTGGTCAGTGGGCCGATTTACAGGTAATCAATGTAGATACATAAAAATATTACTTACCTCAGGTATAATGTCCAAGCTGATTTTTAGTATATTTTAGACGATATCATTAAAAATAAGTCGTCAATACTCCCAGACACTTTTCGTGGGCCGTTTTGCTTTGCAGACGCTTTAAAGCTCTCAAAATAATTACGTAAATTCTGATAATCCATTTTTTATAAATTTTCGCACAGACAACTGTTTTAAATCCTTTCACATGAAAACAGACCGATCCTAGGGGCCAATCATCATAGACCAGATCAGAAGGGTAGAGTTTAACTCCACCATTACCACGTCCATTGGGACACGGGTTCTGATATGGCGTAGGCGGGTATAGGGTATTTCTGAGTCCCGATGTTGACTTTCTCGTCGTCGACATTGGGCATCGAGTAATGACACATTATTTTAATAGAGTATTTAATGTTGAAGACTGATTAATTTATAACTGATAATAAGATTGCGGAAGTAGACTCTAACATTACTACAAAGCATTCGCTGGTTAGAAGTAATAGGATATATGAAATATTACATTAACTGTTTAATTTTTTTAATTGTAGTGCCAACAACATCTTTTAATTTTTATAAAAGCAATTGTAAAAGTTTCCTGAATGTATTTAAAGTAAAGAAATGCATAAAATTTGTATAACATATATTTACTTATGCACCTACTTAGGTACTTAAAATTAAAAAGAATCACCAAGACTCATATCAACATTATCAACATTTATCACAAACATTGGCGAGCACTACAAAGGCACTTAACTATAAACCTAACAACGACAAATTAAACCAGGTCTCTATAATATGTTAACAATTTTTCGCGTAAGAGAATATTCATCGACATTTAAACTTGGTCCGTCAGTCCAACTAGTAGAAGTTTCAATAAACGACTGCAGTTACAGACTTGCATCTTCTTTGTTAGGTCTAAGTAGGGCTCGTTTAATGTTAGTACAGTATCGATACAGTAGGCAAGCACTTTCTTTTAAATAAGCAAGGCTTTTGTTTCTGTCCAAAATATTAAACATGAAATTGTATTATAACAATGAGGAACATTGGTCTTACAATATTTTTATAACTTAAGGATACAAAATAGGCACGCGACTTGCATTGATTACTTGGTCAATGTCGTGGAACTCGACAGGAAGTGCTAGGGAAATGATGAAGAGGAAATTGCTGATGGCATTTGCTATATTTTCATTAACTGCTGCTAAAAATGGTGGCCCTCGATCGTACTATCAAGAAACTGATGGTGTTTCTCCAAATAATTCTAGTAAACTTTCTGGAAGAAAACAACAACACTTGCCATCATCAAGTACAGCTCTATCATCGAAAAATGAAATGATAATAGAAAAATTTCTAGACACCATGTTGACTAGTGATCAGTACTTAAATAAGATTGACACCATCGAAAATAAATTGATCCATTTGAATTCCCTCTTTCACAATAAAACAAACACAATAATTAAATCGGTTTCAAATGTTATGAAAGTTGTTCGCTCGTTGCCAATTAATAAGGTGGAGATGTCAGTGAAGTCGTTAAAGGAAGATTTTAACAAGTTAAAAAATATACTCGTGCAGCGTCATCGCGCTGGTGTACAGATGCGACGCGGTATGTATTTCAGATAACTATTTTGAAAAATTCTTTTTTAACTATATAAGTGGTTCAAAAATTTGTCAACTTGTACATAATAACGCACTACGCGGTGAACATTACTGTGTAGGTACAACAGTACAACGTCAAAATGCAAGTATTAAGGCCTTAGAATAGATTTAGGCCATATTTCATGATAAAAAATCTTACTCTTTGCTACAGTTCAACATGGATTAAATTTAATTTATACAACCAAATATTTTTAGTCCAAAAAACCTCAGGTCATGTTTTGTGTAATGTGCCTGAAAATAACTATTAACATAACAAAATGGAAAAAAAATGTGCATCGAGACATGAATGGAGAAACAGGTTTTTAGAGGTTTGTAGCAATACGTCTCGGTTTGTTAATATGACCTATCTGGCGGTAAAGGTTTTTTTTATTTAAAAAACATCGATAACAGGTATATATTGTCATTTCTACTGGAATTAATAGTCTTAATTGTTATTCCTCTATGTAAATACAAATATTAAAAATCTTTTCAGCCTTAGACTATAGCAACCTCTAAAAGCTTATTTTTTTTAAAGATATGATATTTAGTACATATAGCTGTAACATATTAAAACGAGTCATTTATTGTATATATTTTTTTGTTGTAATTTACTTTTAAACAAGAAGAAAAGAGATCAAAACATATTGAGGATAAGATTATTGATTTTATAAAAATTGGTATTATTGACTCATGACCCTTTGACCCTTTGACTCGGGGATATACGATACGCCAGAACTACGCGTCTAAATAGCGTAGTCGTCGGTTATTTAATAGAATGAATACTTTTACCTTAGCATCAGATATTTTGAGAGGCTGTCGCAATGCCTCAGTTGAGCCAGCCTAAAAGTTGCAAGTCGAAGCAAGTCTTTCTGTGTGGCTGTACCACATCGAAACTGCTTATTGTCAAAAGACGAGGCCGACGCCTCGAACGAGTTCTCGTAGCTGATTTTCTCATAAAATAATTTACATTTAGTTAGTTAGTCAGCAATAATTCCTAACGATTAATGAAATGTTTTCATAAACAAATACAAATTTACTACTGTTGTGTGTGGATATTTTTACATTGTACGGTATGGTATTATAAACTATTGTATTTGTAAACATGATCGATAAAATTTATACACAACACTCCAAGAGTTCAGATATATCGCTGCGAATTATCTTCTCGGACAAAGCATAACTGTTTTTCTTTGATCGCCTCAAAGTTTGTAAACCTTTCTGTGAGCGCAAAATGTATGATAGCCGCAGTTGCTCCCTGGCACACTGAACGTACGCATCTCGATATGTTCCGTAATCTAATGCTCTTGCAACTTGCCCTGTTTACAATGTCGCCCATATCAACGGAGGAAACTAGACATAAGAGAACAAGGTATAGAAATGAGAACTCTGACAAGAATTCTTGGAAAAAAGAGTATGAAGATGAATTGAATCAAGCGATGTTGTCAACGAGGAAACGCGAAAATTACACCAGAGTACCACAGTCCGCAGGAATCTCTGATAATGAGGCGGTGGTGGAGAAAATAATGGAATCAATTATGACAAGCGAGAAATATCTCAAAAAAATAGACAGCATAGACTTCAGGCTGAATAGGTTGGATATAGAAGTGCACGAAAAAACCAACAACATATTGAAATATTTAGGGGCACTATCCAAATCTATTCAAAGTCAATTGTTTTCGGAGAAGTTGGACACATCACTGGACATTTTGAAGACCGATATAAGTTATGTGAGGTCAAAGCTGGAAAGAGTAACCCAAGACAGGGCCAATAATTTAGTTCAGAGTAAGAGTACATTTTAAGTTATAAAGAAAAACCCCACCAACGGCTTAAAATATTTTTCAAATATGTGAAAATAAATTTATTTCGCGTAGCTTCCAATTATAGAAGTGCAAGTTTTTTGGTAAAATATGCAGTAATAATTTTAAGAAGTTAAATTATGATTCGCATTTACTCGTAGTAGCTAATTTTTATAATATTTTATTTATAATTATTAAAAATTATGCCTGCGGCTTAAACCCGTTCGATGCAGTAACTTCATTAAAAAAAATTTACTCGTATGTTTGAAAATTCTATCCAATCCTATTCGAAACAAACAGATATAAGATACAGAAGCACATATTATTGATTTCAGTTGATGGTGGAGAACTAAGACTCGAATCTAGTGTAGATACCAGACTTAAGTTCGTAGAAGATCACGTTAAGTCGATTATGGCGAGCGTGGATTCGATCTCAAACATAATTTCAGAAGTCAAACATCGTCAAAACAGTAAAATTTATCACAGGTAAGTATATGAAATTTTGCTAAGATTCTACACGCGACACTCGTTACTATTACGCGAATTAAAAAAAGCGTGTAGGCCATTTTTGACGTTATGTAAATGAAAGTACTGATCTGGATGTAGCTCTTGAATTTCATAGCACTTTATATATATATACAGGCCGGAGATCAGCGGATCGCTGGACGCTTTATCGTTGATAAGCGAATTCCGAAAAGCTCTGCAAGAGCAGAAACCGAAGAAATGTGAATGCAAGTTAGTATCTATATATTAATCTCTTATATTAACCGTACTCTGTAAATTAAGCTGTTGATTTTGTATCAGAATCGGACGTATGGATCGTAATGAGCGTTACCCCACTGATTGCCACGAGATACAAATGCAGGGCTTCAACATATCGGGTATATATAAAATCAAACCAGACGACATGGAGTCATTCTACGTATTATGTGATCTCAACACGGCAGGAGGAGGTTGGACGGTTAGTATACAATTAAAATAGTTAATTAATTGTGGAACATAATTTCGAAATAGGCATTTGTTTTCCATATAAGACTACAATAAAGCAAGTTTTGTTTTTGATTAAGTTTTGTTTTCACATTTACACATTGATTATCACTTCGCATGTTTAAGTTAACTTCGTATCCCGTAGGTATTTCAAAACCGTTTCGACGGATCGCAAGACTTCTATAAAACGTGGTCCGAGTATAAATACGGTTTCGGTAACCTGGCGGGCGAGTTCTGGTTAGGGCTGGAACAGCTACACCACCTCACCAGCCAGAAGTTGTACGAGCTGCGAGTGGAACTTGAAACGCAGCATGGCCGCGACGGGTTCGCCAGTTACTCTGTATTTACAGTCGGCCCTGAACACGAAGGCTACAGGATCAGCACTCTTGGCTCTTTCCACGGGTCTGCAGGTTAGTCAAGTTTCCTAATAACCATTATGAAAAATTGCTTGATAATCTCAGAGGTTGGCAACTCGTAACTAAGATGTTGTGGTTGTAGCAATCGCTTAGCATTGCATAAATCGTTCATTCCTCACCTGTCTTAAAAAAACAATATGGCCGGGGTGAGAGGAGTATATTGAACTAAAAAGAAAAACTAAGTACATTCTGTGCCCGACCCCTTTATTACATTTTGATAAGCATAATTTGTGTAACATTGTTTTTTCAGGCGATTCGTTGTCTTACCACGCTGGGCAAAAGTTCTCAACCCGTGACGTTGACAATGATGAATGGAAAGATGGCTCCTGCGCCACGGAGCACGGTGGTGCGTGGTGGTACAAGGAATGCGATAAAAGGTCATAATGATTCGCTAAAGCATTCATTGAATACTTGGGAAAGGCTAGAACAATAGGGGATTGTTCTTTGCCGTGTTGTTATTGAAAACTTAATATAGTATAAATATATTTATTCTGTACAATCACATTTTGTTCTCATGTGTAAGCGCTATAAATGTTGATCCATACGCCATGGAAACTAGAAGAAATTATCCAACCGTCGCTCTAAAAAAGGGCACAGTTTAAACCGTTATCTAAAATCTAATTCCTCACTTCGTACGATTTTTTGCTTGTTCAGGCTTCGTCTTTGACTTCAACCGAGAACTTATTGTTTCTTTTTTCTTAATTCCAAGTAAATTAATATAACGTTTAGTTTCTGCGACAGCTGTTTTGCTGTGACACCACCATATGGTGTTGCAAGAATGGACAGGCTCATCTCGAAAGTACCTTCGACTTTTAATATTTTAACAAAGGTTGACGCGATTTATAATGTGAATACTATTACGAATTCCAACCTTTTCTGCGTCCTCTTTCCACACTTTTACTCTTTACTGTCTATTGAGTGAGGTAAACGGGAAACGTTTTTTTCATGGTTGTCATGCTACTGCCACCCCATGGGTGTTGTAAATTCACTTAACTTCAGACGACGTGTTTGCTGATATGGCACTTTCTACGTAAAATTAGTTGAAACCAGATCACAAGTTAGGATGGCATTTTTCTCTAGTTTAGATAAAAGGCGAATAACAGAAAAATATTGTTGTAGCAACCTCAATGCCAGATACTCACTCTCAGCCGAGGAGCCACAGGGCCAGAACATGTACTGGATATCGTTCAAGGCGCCAGCTGTACCACTTATCAAGTCGCGTATGATGATCCGGCCGCTTCCAGCCAGCCGACCCATTGACTACAATCAACACCCCAGGGTAATCTAATTAGCTAATTCTTACCGTAATGGGTAGTTTAAATATTTATTTTTGTCGTTGACTGGCAGAGAAAACCTAATGGTATTAAGTTCGCCATTATACGATATTGTGCAAAAAAATTTTGATCGTGTGTGAAAGTGAAGTTTTTAATAAGTTAATAATGAAATATCAAACGGTTCCCATGTATGGTGGATGTCTTGTAGTGAATTGAACACTGATTTTGAATGAAAATCAAATCTTTCAACCGTATTTTGCTGGCGATTTATAGACAATTTAATCACACTAGAGGCTGTATTGTACTCGTAGGTATTATAAGAGACTGTATTATACTTCTACACTTTTTTCTAATTTTGGATATGCAACTTACAGAAATAATTTAAACGAGCATTATTTTTAAATAACAAGATGTGTCCTGCTTCACTCCATGATTGGTAAAGAAAGATTTTTGTTTACTTTACTTGGTTGCGGAATTAATTTTTGTAACCATTTCAAAAGGTCAACGACTTTCGTGTTTTATACCCTACATACCATGGACATAATAAAAGGAATGTATGCTAAAAAATACAAATTATTATGAAAATAAATGTGGGTTATTTTAAATTTTTATTAAATTAATGTAAAATCTAACTAATATTATAAATGCGAAAGTTTGTCAGAATTGATGGATGTATGTATGGTATGTTACTGCTTCGCGATAAAACTAACGAATGGATTTCGATGAAACTTTACAGTAATATAGACCTTATTTGAGTATTCAGTTATGAAGCAATAGAAACTAAAAGAGTGAAGTAGAAGTTCAGGACACACAAAATAATTTTTAAATTAATATCGTGTTATCTAGGTACTATCATTGCTAATAAGAACAATAAACTTAAATACCATTAATTTATTGGGCTTCCTTATCAAAAATGGAAACTTATCAAAATCTTTGTATTATCTTATTGCATCAGTCGATGATTGAAACAGTCGATGATTTAAAAAAGTAGTACTTTTTTGAGTAGGTATCGAGGTATCGTAGGACCTTGTGGGTATTGGAACATCCCTATAAACGTTTTAATTATGGGTGTTCGTAGTTAGAAAAAAGTAAATTGGTGATCATTGTGAACTGAAAGTAATTATAAAGTAAATAAATATAAAAACTTGTTTTGCTGTTCCTCTAAATTTGTCCAAGAATGATTTTTTCTTCATGTTGTCAGAACTCGTTTTCAATTTATCTGTAGGAACGCAAAAGTGTACAGGATCATCGCTTGCGGAGTATGTACGGGACGCATTGCTTTGTAGGGCAAGTATCCCATTGATCATAACGTATATCATAATTAACAGTCTATGCATGTTCTACTCCTGAGCTTAAATATCTTCTCTACGTATTTTTCACACATGCAAGTTCCTCTTTGAAGCGTTCTCGTTAATCTCCAACCGATCACATGATACATCAGTTCTTAGAATTTACAATAACAACATTGATAAAATGAAAAAAGGACTTTTATTGACATTCATTTCGATAGCACAGAATGGCTCCATTCCCACGTTATCATGTTCCATAATTTGATTCCGTAATTTAATGTGTGCATTTGATTCCGTAATTTAATGTGTGCGACTGCACAAAACTTTGTAAACAAAATAACGTGCACGCTCGATAGATAATTATAGAGAAATAAGCTATCCCAGACATCGCATTAAAAATAATAAACTCCCGCAACTGACACGAATCTGTTGAAACTTCATATATTACAATCCGTCCCACGGTAAAGGTTTTAGAGTGTGCCAAAGAATTAGACTTAATTACGCCCAAAAAGCATTACACTCTTTCAGCGTCTGGTAAGACAATGTCCTACAGAAAATAGTTTAGGTAATACTAAAGATACTAATATTCGTCATATTAGCTGTAGTTTTGATAGAAATTTAGACCCAGTGGTATGAATTACTATGTTCGTGTACTTAAGATAATTGTTATATTCATTTAAAAGTAATATAGGATGATTACCGTTGGATTCAACGTTAATTTAACATTTTTTAATTATCTTCAACTCATGTTAAACACTATTCCATTAAAAATAATGCCCGCTTAAATCTTTGAAATTATATAATGAAATAAAAAAAATCTAATTATGGTTTTCATATTACGCTTATTTTATTATATAAAAGTAGTTTAGCCGTAGCAGGTTAGCATATTGGATTGTTATCTATGTGCCTAAGAATGAGGTAGCTTATGTTTTTTTCAGAAAATTTTAGAAGGTTCTAAACTAAGAATTGGGGACGAGCATGCAAAGGTGTTTCGAGTAAAGCCAGGAGCCATCGAGACGGGACCTCCTCGCAAGCCCTACCGGTACGAGGGGCACTCGCGCGACGATGTCTTCTTCCCTAATTATACGTAGAAATGAATTATGTGCCTTAAACAGAACGCATTGTCCTGTTAAGACAAACACTATTCGACCAAATACAATACCGTTATTCTCTCACGTTGTAATGCGTATGCGCATTTTTTGTACAAATTGTTTGTTAATTTTTTTTCAACTGAGATTGTTTAGCCGAGTGCCTTAAATATTATTTACAATAATGTTACCAATGAGTTTTGAAATGTGTTATTTGGTTTTAGTGTTTAGAAAAAGGTTAAGACATTAGGCCGGCTCTCTACTATGCCATATCTAATATATCGAATTCTCGTGTCACGGTGTTTGTAACTGAACTCCTCCGAAATGGCTCGACCGATTTTCGTGAAATTTTGTGTGCATATCTGCCACGGTAGAGATTCAGACAACATATTTTTCATCCCCCTAAATTTAAAGGGTGATTCACCCCAAACATTTTTTTCTATCCTACAAATAATACTAGCTGACCCGGCAAAACAACGTTTGCCGGGTCAGCTAGTTTATTATATATGACATAACGCATAAAATAGCATTATTCAGCATAGATGCATACATGCCTTTTACATATCGAAAAACTTTTAGCAAAACGAAATTTTTTACGTTGACCGAACATAAATCTTAATTATAACTATAACATAAATTATAACAATCATCTATGTGGAATTGTGTGTGTATTATATCAAATATCTATGTGGAAACTAATGGTAAGATATAATTATTATATCTTGTTATAACAAGTATATATACCCCATAGTGAAAAGCCAAACTTAATGTCGATGAAAAAGAATAAGAGTGTGTAGTTAAAATACTTTTAACGCCTTCCTATCGAAGATCCTGCCTATAGATAATGAAATAAATTATTTTTAAATGAAACTCATGTTACCGGTGTTATTATTTTATTGATTCACATGTAGACATCACACAATAATTTTGCTTATAGTAAAAAATAGGTGATAAAATATTCTGTAATAAGAACTTTTAGAACACAACACCGAAAGGTTTGTTTTCAATATAACAATGAATTTAGAAAATGCAAAATGATAATAAAACGATATACATTATAAAAACGGGGCAAAATAAAGGAATTCTTCAAATTGTAGCTACTGTTGTATGGAGAACAAAAAATAATTCAGTCTCATTCACTTTATTAGTAAATATGTTGTTGTGAACTGTAAACTGTATCTTAGGTTGAGCAATATCTTTTGTACTGGCGTTTATCCATATAAAAGTGAAGTCCCATTCAAGTGTGCTTAAATTTAATACTTCCAATGGTTTACAACCAATACCAGACGCAAAACCAGCAGCGCGCGGTGAATGAGACTCTACAACACAGCTGGACAATAGGGCAGTGGCCAAACCAGTAAGTGATAATTGTGAACATAAAAGTTAATAGTACTTATCTCTGGTTTAACTAAAAATACTTACACTTCGCGAAACAAATTTTAACTACACTTATCGATATTACTTTTATTAAAAAAACCTGATAAATCATTAATAGTTGCCAGCAATGAAACCAGTAGATTTTTAAAAGTCGTACAGAATAGTCAAAATAACGACCCACCGGTCCTTTGCCCCGGCGGGAAATTCAAAAATATTTTAAGTGGTTAACAAATAAGGATTAATTTAAACAGCATAATTACGCAGATACACAGTTTGAAAACCTCATAAAAATGTTAAAATTTTTACTTGTATTTTGCAAAATATAAAGGAAATTAGTACTTAAAATAGTTTTAAATTTCCCAAAACTTATTACAGTATTGATACTTTACTGACCTGTTTTTGGTATCTAACGTAACACTGACTATTTACACAAGAAAAAATAATAATTATAGTTTTTAGTACATTCTAATTACGGTTAATGTATTCAACTAATATATACAACACCAATAAAGCAACTAAATTCTATTACTAATCAATAGTTACTTAAATTATAAACAAAATACAAAATTTTAATATAATAAGAAACGAATCATTTTTAATTCACTGAAGTATAATTAGTTAATTAATTACATTTACAGATGAAACAATAAAAATGTTGCAATGATTGCGCCTCGAAAATACAAAAAACTAAGTAGCACCATAGATTAATAGTTTTTATACATTTTGAAGCATTTTCGGTTTAAGAAAATTATAGAATAGATTTTGACACAGATTGCACATGCGGTAAATCATAACCAACCGCAATACCGTAAAGAAAGAATAAGCAACAATCATAAATATTAAATGTAAAATTACTTTTCTATCGATAAAGAGATTATTATATTTAAATACCATTAATGCACATTAAACGTTTACCATAAACAAGCTTAAATATTTCTAACACGTACGTTTAAGATAACTGTATGTTAACCTACTTATAATTATTAATACTTGGGACACACGCATATCCGTGCGAAGTGCCGTAATTAAAACTGTACACATTTTGGACGCCACATATACGCATATGCCATAGCATAAAAATAATAAATACGAAAATTTCACCTTAAAATGATGGTGAATGAGCGGAGAAACATAAGCCAATGTACAATAAAGTAATGTTGGAAGTGGAAAAAATCAGAATTTACGGCACAGATATGTGAGTGTACCCGACGACATAATATATGCATTCGAATAAATCGATCACGTAATGTGTTGACTTAAGGTACAAATTCTGAACTAGAGAGATACCAGGTAAATGTATAAAATCCTGCGTTAGTGACAAAATATAAATAAATTAGCCATTGGTGTCGTCGATCTTTTCACGTATGTGTAAACGTTGACGTTAAATGGATCTAGTGTTAAATATGGACCATGGGCAAGCTCCGACTATTGCAGCCGGAGGTATGGACGGGGGAGGGGGTGGGGGAGTGGGTTTGGTGGTGAGGGGATGGGGGTTGGGGTTAAAAACCGACGCCAATAGATGCATCGCGTTCGTGTATCACTTAAAAACTAAATAGGCGGAACTCTCGACATATGTCCATCGAGCATCGTTGCACTGGCTGCGCGCGTGGCCAGCCAGAATCTTCAATCACCGCTGACGGTCCGAACGTTAACATATGCCACCAACAGGATCGAACGATAAGCATGAACCTTGGCACACTGCTAATCGTTACATTCCTTTTGAATTGTATCTATTATCAATGTGAAAAAGTAAATAAATATAAATATTTGAACGACATGTAAGGGAAAAATTATAAGCGGCGTTTGTTTAAAACATAAATGAAAGAAAAGTTACTGCTTATTGGATTTTGTTTCTTTTGTAGATGTATTATGATAAAGTTTCTTATTAGGATTGTGATGCATGTTTTGAGTGAGGTCTGCAGACTTGCTGTGGACTGACATGCGATTATGATGACAGTTACATTTAAATACTTTATATGAATTTAAATTTGTCCCAACCGTCAACTGTGTTTAAATAATGCAATGATAAAAAAGAAATAACCATAAAGGGTAGAACTGAGCATTTCCACCATCTAAACCCTGTCTCAGTTCTGCTTAATAAGTATAATAAAGATTCCGATACAGTTAGCACTGAAACTACTTCCTTCTTATATACCTGTGTAGTTGGATACAAAATGCTTAGTACCCCTCTATATGTCTATGATTACTATTATAACCTAAAATCTAAATTATAATTAGACACTTACCTACATAAAGGTAATAAATTTAAGGATAAATCAAAGTACAACCGAATATCAGTTAATGACTTAATGTAAAAGCCATTTACATTTCTAAATTTTTCAAAAAATTTGCAAGGTGAATAAATTTTTGGCAAATGAAAACTTTTTAAACATAACATACAAAAAAACTATAAATTAAATAATTCGTTTTCACTGAATAGTTCAGAAACATAAATGGCCAATTAAAGCATTTTGCTAAGATCTTAAAATATAATAATGACAAATTTGTCACAAGAAAAGAAATACCTAACATAATATATTAGCTGAAATTTGTTTTGCAACTTAACTTGCTATACCTTATAGTTAAAGTGATAATATAATATTAATATAGTATAACTATTTACTTACTAGCTAATAATGAATGATAATTGGGTATTACATTAATTGAAGATAAAGAAAGTAGATCGAATACACAGCGTACAAATGTGAAAAGCGTTAGAACTGTTTGATACGGTATTAATAAATATGAGGGAAGTTGGTGAAATGAGACTATATATTGATTACCATCTGATATTGACTGCCCCATAGTTTGGAAAATTCAAACGCGCTTGAGTGAATTTCTCTCTGTTCTCTGTTCGTGACATTGCGCATGTACCATGAACTTATCTTTAAATATTAAAATTTAGTTCCCGTATAATAGTTTTTGATTGACTTGATATTTGTTTACAACTTAGCTATTAACAAGTATTGAGCTTTTTTTAACCTTTAAATTTTGGAAAAGAAATCGATGGTTACGAATCGCAAACGCAGAGTTAGCTGTACACCGACATGTGGGAGTGAGATAGAGCGATTTAGGCTGCGACCAGAGGGAGTGGACCAAATGCGTCCGCTTCATGTAGACGTAGACTCTCGGATATCTATTACCTGTATACGGTTCGTAATGGTTCGTACTAATTTCAGGAGCGTAATAAATTTATTTTTAGGACGGAAACGACCTTCAATAACGAAGACCACGAAAAAGAAGAAGAATAAATGTTTGCTGTCCGTACACACATATTGTATGTAAGTTTTGTTGGTACACGCGTATTGTATGCTATGTTTTCGAAACTATGAGAATAATCTTACTTAGCAACAACTACTTAACAAGTACTTCGGAATATTCCGGTTAATCGGTGTAGGGAAAAGAACATTAAAGACGTCTGCACGTCTATATCTGAATAAGTTAAACTGCTATGCGAGTATAATCGAGTCCGGTACGGAAATTACATTCTTCGTAACACTAACATTATATTAATTAATGAACATAAATGATACAAAACGGCTGCGGTTGTAAATATACATAATGTAAAACAAGATGTAAAATATGTACGTATTAATACTAAAAATAACTATAGACGTAATTGAACACTGAATAGCTTAGCCGTAGTTCGTTGAGCTCGGCTCGTTGGTTGAATCTGCAAAATAAATAATCCACCATCAATCACTAATGGAACATAATATAGCTACAAACTTAGTAAACCTAATCGATTGAGAAGAAACGAATTTCGAAAACTAAAGGTTTTTTTATGTCAGAAGGTGGTAATCGAGCTGACGGTTCATCTGATGCTTAACACGTTAACCGCCCGTGTACATTTACAACACCCGTGGGTTCGCAGAAAGTAAAATAAATAAAAATAAACATTAATCCCAAACTAAGCAACGCTTGTACCATGGTTACTAGATAACTGATAATTTTTTTTAAGTTAATACATATTATAAATATATAAACACCCAAACAGTGTGACCATGTTCAACGAAACTCCATGTTCTTAATGCAACAACCAAACACCATGTTCTTATAATACTTTTCCAGTAGTGGGGATCGAACCAACAGCCTCTGGCGCAAGAGGCACTTGCACTACCCACATCGCCAACCGGGTAGTCATCTTTTAATTATGGCCTACTGTTACTTCGCCCACCGGCTCTCACCGGTCTGACCCGACCATTTGTGCGTCAGCGAAGACTGTCGCGTGGCACAGCAAATCAAGTGATTATTTAAATGATAACACACACTGGAAATGAATTGGACGCCCCTGGCTCCTCCAAGTGGAATTTAATATATTGTACACATGTGTTTGTCATAATACGTTGAAAAACAAAACGTGCCACCGAGGTTCTTCCTTTCGAGGTTGATCCTTCTCAGTCGGTGGTTTTTCTCCGAAACAGTAGTGGTGTGTTTTGACAATAGATAGGTAAGTGTGGTGCTTGCATATCGGATAGATAGAATTGATTTTGAATTATTTCCGCGTCCACCGACCTCAGTCGTGGTCGTTCGCCGGCTGCTCGCTCTCCGGGCGCAGGGAGTCTATGCAGGCGACGATCTTGAGCGCCGGCCCCAGCTTCATGGAGAGCGCCATCACCAGGTGCTCGGGCCTGATCAGCAGCAGCGCCTCCCCGTCCACCTCCTGCATGAGGAACTCGTCCGCGTAGCCAGCGCAGCCGGGGATGTTGCGGATGAAGTCGCACACCTCCGCCACCTGCAACCGAACAGGTCTGTCCAGGCGACGCTCGAATAGAGTACACGCAGTATACTGAGCTCGGTGCCTCGATGCTCCGGCCGATTTGCAGCGATTGCGCAGTGATACGCTCCCATGCGCCGAGAGCCGAACGGTACACACGGATAGTCGTTTCGGATCTTGATGTTTGTCCGCGTGAAATGTATGTTCTTACAACACGGGATAATGGTATCCTACGCAAGAAAAAAAAAACGTTGTTCGATTTGATGAAATCAAGCTAAAGTATTAATTGCAACTACAATTTTGAAGTTTGTGACGGTTCGTAAACAATTCTACGGGGCGTTTGTAAGTGATTGTGCGCGGATTCCGTTTCCAATATGGTGACCTCTGATGGTGACTCACGCTCCACTTGTTGGCGTTCGGTATCTTCGGTTGGGCGGAGTCGTCGGGGGCGCAGTCCCCAGCCGCGTCTGCCTTGGCGCTATGAGCGGCCGCCTCGCCCGGGTCCACCACGCTCGAGCTGATGCGGGACTGGCTGCCGCCGTGGTCCAGCATCTGCTTCTTGCCTGCCGACCGCGACGGTTGAGAATGACCCCGAATAAAGAAAGCAATGTGCCACTTTTACAAATGTGGCGTCTATTGTTTAATGACGAATTTAAAGTTAGTATAGTTGGTATACTCACGCGGCGGTTCGTCGGGCGAGGGAAGTTTGTTCTCCTTGTCCTGATCCTTATCGGCGGCCCACTCGCGGACTGGGCGATTCACCTGTCCAATGGCGTGTTATGAAATATTAAAATGCTGCCATCTTTTTTCACAATGACAAGTGCTGACCGGTAGAGAATGCCATTCGGCATTAAATCCGCCTATTGTAGCCCTTGGCTTATGGTGTACAATAAAATTTAAATTAATAAACTATACAGAAGTGTTCATCACGAAATGTTTTACAGAATGTTTGTTATAATGGTAAGATTGTTTTAATAACCATCGAGTAAGTATACAGTGTGCCAGTTTAACGTATCAAGGTTAGCAACTCACGGCAAACGGCTCCGCGGCCTCCTGGATGACGTAACCTTCGATCACGTGCGTCAGTATGTTGGGCTTCACCATTGCTTTCGGCAACCCTTTGTCTAGAAACAGTAATGGGTTAAATTTAATAATTCAAGCAATAACAAACTATACGTAACCAAATACTCTATAAAGTGTTGGGATCTTATCAGAACTAGCGCGCTCGCCAGGACCCACGAGATCTAACTCGTAACTTAATTAAAAATAAAAAAAAGAGTTTACGTAAATTAAACCACAAATAGTTACAACAAAGTTTTAAAACAATAACTTGACTTAAATTGTATTTTTTTTTTTAGATAAATGTACAAAAACTTTCTGCGCTGCGGGATTCGAACCTTCGTCGTGTGGTTTTGCGCGCAGACGCTATACCATCTAAGCCAAGCGGCTGATGACATCACGGCGATCATCTCGTCGACTATAGAACCCGTAGGTTGGTTGTATTCAAACGTTTTTTTTTTTAAATTATCTACGGAGGTATTCGCCCGGTGGTGGGGTAACGCTCACCGTGCACCGTTTGCTGGCTAATGTGCCTCGGGGGGCACTGCGAACTCTTGAAGAGGGGCGCCGTGCCGACGGAAGGGGGCACCGTTGCGGCCGTTGTCGTCGCAACCGACGACGACGAGGCGACGGTCGTCACCACCTGCGCGGGGGCAAAACGTCGCGACGGCTCGACGTTGTTATCTAGTCTCCAACTCGGCAAAGCTTGTACTTTTATTAAGGGTTCGTCTCGTTAATCACGTTATTTCTTTTGTTTTTCAGAGAATTTTCAAAGTGCCCTCACTCCATGTTTGGCATTCATGGTGATATTTGATGAGGTTTATGATCATTTAGCTCGAAGAACCGATTCCGATGGGAAAGAAAGGTTGTCGAGTGACAGCCTCGTCGATCGAGATTTTATTGACCATCGTAGGGTAGGATGATGATTCCACTAGATGGAATGACGACATGTGAAAGTGTGCGTGAAGTTGATGGATGCAGGTGTGGTGGAAAAGCTAAAACGATGATGATAAATAAATAATATTTCAGGACAAGTTTTAAGACACAACGTTCTGTAGTCGCAAACTAAGCAACGCTTGCACTATGGGTGGGTACTAGATACATACTTTTCCTTTTCTAAATAAATAATAAATATATAAACACCCAGACAATGGAAAAACCACTATGTTCATCACACAATATTTTTCCAGTAGTGAGGATCGAACCCACACCCTCTGGCGCAAGAGGCAGGGTAACTACCGCTTGGGCCAATTGGGACATCGATGATGATGAGTAATAGGATGTCGCGTGTTTCTGTCTCTCTCTCTCACTTGAGGCGCAACGGGCGTGGTCTGCTGCGCGCTGCTGGGAACCGGAGGAGTGGATGTGGCAACGGACGCAACGGCCGCAACAGATGTGGAGGTCGCTTCGTTCGAGTTCTGGGACTCCGGCTTTTGTGGGCTCGACTTCGCTTCATTGGATCCAACTGCGCCTGGAGAGAACACAAAATAGTTTGGTAGATGAAACTAAGCTCACCGATCTATAGGGTTTATTTTTAGGTTTATCTTCCGACGTAGTTACCGGGCAGTTTTTAAATTATTATTTTTTGTGTCGATCTACGCAGAACGTTCGGTCGAATGTAGGCCGGACTGACAACGACACTTAGTCGTGCAACGGCCCGTGCCGTGCAGGCTGTCCCGTGACCAGGGGTGCTGAACAGAAATGAAACTAAAAAGATAGCTTCATAATGGTGTGTAATCGCGTAAGCACAAGAAATTATCATAAAACAGTTTCTTGTACTATCAACCCATGATACTAATAAGTAATTTAATGCTTAAGTCATTCGCGTACCAATCAAGGAGGTGCTGGTGGAAATGGTGGAGTCATTCGTAGCGGGTGCTGCTGTGGTGGTGAGCGACGAGGCGATGGTGGCGACTGTGCTGCTAGCAGTGTATCCCGAGGACACGGAAGCCACCGCCTCAGAGGTGGTTTCGGCCTGCACCAGCGCCTGTGGTGTTATCGGCTGCACAACCGGCGCCTATGGACAACGTACACGGACCGTGTTAGACGGTCATTATAAACCGCCCTATTAACCACAAATATAGTTACTTCTTAACTATGTGCCCGCTAACGGTCCGTCCTGTGAAACCAGTTCGGATTTTACAGCACAGGTATAAGCTGAAATCAATTGGCTTAATAACTAATAATACATAGCTGAAAGCAATTGGCTTATATATATTGGAAATAAAATCGGATGTAAAAGAGATGTCACGACGTGTTCGTCGGTCTATTTCGCCTGCTCATCCAATCGTATTTATCCTATTTACAGCCTTTAGTTGATTGAAAAGTATTTTGTGATAATATTTTTTAACGTCAACTAGACTGTAGCATTGTAAGAGGCATAAGACATTACGACAAACATTGTCCCATACATATGAAACTATCAAGACGAAAATGCGTGCTTTAAACGTTACAACGTCAATGTACAGAAACTTTGCATATCTTAACCTAAGTATGTATCAAAGACATTCAGGTTTTACACAGGCGAAATAGTCCCAGTCACATTGGAGGTTAAAAATCAGAACGAGAGATTCATGCATTCTGAAAGTTTGCTCAATATTCGCGTGTAACCTCGTGCGCGCCTCTTAAGATATTCAAGGATCAATGTCAGAATGTTCAGAATAACGGTTTCTGGAAATATCTCGCTACATATAGATTTATTGATATTTGCATTTATAAATATATAGAGAATAAATTTCTCTGCATTTTTACCCTTAACCGCTATTGTGCTAGAGTTAACCGGAAGTCTCGATAAATAATAGCTAAAGCGTCAGGACGTGAATCCCGAAGAAGTGAGGTCGATTTCTTCCAACGGCCAAAACATTTTCGTATTATTTTTTACAAATGTTAACGTCGTAAAAATACATAAAAATTCATAAGTTCCATTGTTTATTAATTCATACATTATATTTGTTAATATTTACATATCGATATATTTTTAGTAATACTTTTCTATTGGTCGAGTGTAGCACTTTAAGTATATTGTATATAATAATAATTATAGTAGTAGAAAAAGAATTAAGTAGTTTTACTTTTAAATGTTACAAACACTCAAATTCTAAAAAGATTATACCTGAGATTGGGTGGTAGATCTACTGTCGCCAGCTTGAGCGGGAAGGCGTTTAAAATTCATGTTATGACGTAAGCCCACGAACTGTTTTTCTGGATCAGAACTTTTTTAAGATTTTCCGTGGCTAATATTTACTCTTGGAAATGTTACACTTCATAATCATTTAACAACAGAACCCAAAAAATCTCTGAAACCGCTTAACTAAGGCAAACACATTAGTTCCGAAATGTCGCCGATATTGGTATTCTATTAACAACAGTTTAAACGATGTACAGAAAACAGTAATGTTAACAAGTGGTACAGATTATATGACTTTTACGATATCATAATAACAGATTTATTTTTTCAGTTAAGTAAAGTATTATTTCGGAAAGGAAATTACTTTACTCAAATAAGTATAATTAACTTGTTCAAGAATATTTATCTTGAAATTATTTATTATATTTGAGGTTTAGTATATTATTAAAGGAGTAGAGAAAGAGTCACAATTTCACATGGTTCAAAGGAAGCACAGATAAAACAATAAAAGCCACTAAAGCACATACTTCATCCGCAAAAATTAAAGTCAACCATAAGAGCTGTAAAAAGTGTTAGTGCATACATATATGTTAGACGAACAGTAATCGACCATAGAACGTTAGGAGAAAACATCAATTTATACATCAATAAAATATTATAAAAATGTTACTAATTCTCACTTTAGATGTCAGCGAATAGAGTGGCTCGAAGCTGCGCTGTGGTATCACTTTCCACTGTGTATTGAAACAATTTCATAGGTAAAACTAATTGCAAACCTCCGTATTGTGACGTAACTATATAAACATAAGTATTTCACAAGTTTATTAGTAAATCCCTTTGTTAAAATGAAGGACAAAATTTGATCACAATAGTAAAAAAAAACATAGGTTCCATTTTTAGTCGGTATATTTTAGTGCGTTCTTAATAACTTTTCTTAAGTATTCCAAAGATAGTACAATAAAACTTTAATTAACTGTCGCAGTATTAAGTTAAACTGTTCCCACTCACTCTTTTTATAAATCTGCCAAAAATACAGTACAAATTGAAGAGTTACGGGACCTAGCACTTTAAACTGGAACTCTGATTGGTTCGAAAAAATTGATCCATGGACTGGATCTTTGCAAACTTTGCAATTCTAATGATGTATGTTTTACAAAAAACAGGGATGAGGACGCACTACTCTTTCGAAGTTGAAATGTTTCCTTTGTGGATATGTTGGACGAACCTGTGTGGCTATCTGGCTTTTGTCCTCCTCGTTCTTAACATGGGCCACTATTGTGGTTTGGGGCTGCAGCGGCAGAACGGACCCTTGGACGGGGGCCGCGATGAGGCCAACAGTGCCTGGGGCCTGAAGGGTCAACTGGGGCGAGGTTAGGCTATTCGCCGATACCTGCAGATTAAACATCATTGAAACGAAACTGCATTACTTTACTGTTAAGTTGATACAAACTGATCCAATTCAGTAGTACCTGTCGCTTGTCCATTCGAAATCACATTATACTCTGTGATTAATGACAGTGTTTCATGCAGAATAATTCAATTACATTCAGACCATGCCAAATATCAATTATTAAACGGACTTGTGTATCATGCCTCAATTCAATTGTCCAAGCTAGTCGGAATAATACGAATACCAGAAATTTGGTATATCTAAAGGAACTACAAAGTTAACACATCTGACATAATCGCAGGCAATCTGGTATCTAGCTTGTTAGACAACAAAACAATCTTAGCATGCATACAACTAATAAATATGAAATGAATAATGTATTATAATACACAAGAATATTTAAACAGATATCTAATAAAAATCTGTAGAAAACGACTAGGCTAGAACTAAACACAGATACAGCAATTAATAATGTATTTTCGTTATATAATTGTAATAGTATCGACACGAAAGCGCTGGATGCAATTGTAATGATGAATGCAGAAATTAAATGCATACATTGTTTTCTTTGGAAATATTGCGGCCAGAAATAGCGTTCTCAACAATGATAAATTAAGATCGATCATTTCGTCTCGAGGTCTATCACGAAAACGTCGCTTTGGGAATATTTCTGACCACTGCTGGCCCTTTTGGTCCTCGATTTGATCGCGGGGGTCGTTAAAAGGTTCAATTTCGCTTAGCACTGTTTTCAAGTTAGGTCTTCCGTAACTAAGACGTTTCCTAGGGACATGCGCAGCACAGGTGAAGGCCACGCTTGACGCTAAGCGCTTGACGTACGTAGTGCGCCGGCTTAGTCAGTCGGTTACTCGTCGGCCGAGTCGACGTCAACATGGCTGTCCATACGTAAATGTTTCACGGTGGGAACGATTTCATTTAATTTCGTCACAATATTACGATGCGACGATGATCCACACTTCTTTCCAAATTGGGTATGTCCATATAATTCACACGTTTAAGTAGTTCTTGTGTAACTGTTTTGGAACTAGTTACGAGCTGCAATTTACGACTGAATAAAAACAGATATTTTATTTGATCTACATTAAGCGCCCAATGAGAACTTTTACTCTAGTACAGGTCGTGGTTTTTCGTAATTAGTTGGCATATGTTTATCGTAATAAATAAAATCAGACGCAACATATGGTCAAACAAAACTATGTAAGGTTTTTCGAAGTGATACATTATTTTTGTTGCTGGATATACAAAAATGGTTAATTATTATTATCAAGAGAAACAAATTCTTTGGCTTCCGTTCATTAAATTAAAATGTTAAATTTCTAGTTTTTGGGAACTATCATTTTTAGTGTTCTTTAGCAATACAGATTGAACGGCACTTATAAAGTAAACTTTTATTTTAAAATTGCCAATTTGCTTCAAGGAAGAAAAATACAATTTAATTTTTAAGTTAAAAATACTAAAAATCGCTCACTTTCTCAATACTATCAGAAAGTAACGATTAGTTGAAATTATATACCGTGGTGCACGGCACACCTCAAAAGACCCTCAGAAAGCGTCTCGGTTAAGCGGTACACCTTGGTTCGTGAAATGTTGGTGTATGATACTTTTCGCCAACGGAGGACCAAAACACCAAGTTCGAAGGGGCAACTACCTCGTGGTGCAATATCGCCGGTGAGACCTGCACGAGGGGCGAGGTGAGCAGCGGAGTTCCGTCCAGTGTGAGTCCAGACTGCCAAAGCACCACAGTGTGATCCTTTATGCTTATTATGCCACATGTCAACATGTGACCATACCGTCATTAGCCACAGCCATCGGCCGACCAAACAGATCAAGTAAACCACGATTTGTCAATCTTTGCAACGTCTTTGCAATTGAAACTATTTTTTGTGTAAAGACGGAGAAAGTAAAATAAAAGTTCCAATGACTTATTACTTATTAAATTTAGGAATTAAAAAAAATATTAATGCGTACGTAAATAATTAGATAAAATAATTATATTCAAAACAAGAGTTACTGATATATTAGGGTTAGCACACCTCGCACAATCACGTCAACATAAAGCAAGCAGGTAGATGTTAGTGTTGCCACGCAATCAAGGGTTAGTAGTTTTTTGGTACGTTAATGTAATATGGTAACACTACCTAGGTTTACAAGCAGGATCTGCTGGTCTTGGGTTCGAATTCAATTAGACTTTTTAATTTTTCTAAGAAACTAAGGAAGAAACATAGCTATAGTGGAAAAAATATCGTTTTAATGGTAACTACTTTTATTGAGATGTTCAAAAAGTCAAAGATATTAAATTAGCTTAATGTATTAGAGTATTTTTCAGCAATGACGTCATTTTGAATATAAAATAATAGGACGTTAGCGTTACCAAACTCACCGTTTGCAAGGGCGTGGTGTGGTTGAGGGCCTGTTGCATTCCAACCGATGTTTGGACCAAACCGCTCCCCACAAGAGCCTGTACGGACAAAGCCACTCTTCAGATGTAACCAACCATCGTCGCATTGATACGCATGTTGCAAAAATCTGTTAGTAATTTTTTCATTTTCTTGCTGAATATCTACATTATGCTGTGTTGTAAGGACGTTAGACGTGGATAATTTCACGTGGACAATCAACCAGGTCCGAAGCAATTATCCGTGGGTCACACAAACAGTCGTTCCGTGTGGGAATCGAACCCACGAGCCCCGGCGACGAAGCCCATATCATACCAAATACCTTGCAATGTTAGTACCTGTGTTATGGAAGCGTTCTGCGCTGCTTGGTTTGCGTTGATTTGCCCGACGAGAGGTTGCGCCATTCCACCAAGCTATATGAAGATTATTATGTATTATACAATAATATGATTGGCTTAGTAGATATATAGAGATATTTTCACTCCTGTCATGTCGCGGTAAACTCCTGCCATCTATGATTAATGCTGTCATGCAGTAAGGCAAAAGTTTAAAAATTCAAAGAATGGGAGAACTCTTTGCAGGTATGAGCGAAATACATTCAAAATAATACTTTGGCGACAGAATCTCTATAAAGATCGAAATTATAATAAAACCTTGAGCTGTTGAAAAATTTCCTAAACTTTGTATATAGTAATGAATAAGAAATCTTTACAACCGTTCTTATTTTATTTTTATTTTATTGATAGAACCACCAACGGAATAACATGTTATTTTGTTATAAAAACTGACAATAGACTTAGGAACTAAGATTTAAATGTTTCCATTTAAAGGTAGTTACAGCGTGTTTAAAAAGACGATAAGTGTACGAACTCAATAATAATTACAAGTATGATATTTATAAAAAAAAAAAGAAATGTTGCTATTACTTCAATTGCTTCAACTGGCAGTACAACCTAATACAGGCAGTAAACCATCTTTATGACAAAAAAAGAAATTGTGTAGATGTTGCACTACCACAGATGTACCAATACTGGCACTCAATTATTGTCTGCCTTGTCTCTGTCTAGGTTTGGGTTGGTGCAATCACCATAATAGAATAGTAATTTAGTTTTGTGGGCATGGATTTTTTTACCATGGCACGGATATAGTGGAATTCTCTTCACTCGGAGGCGTTCGTGCTTGCATGGCATTTGTTTGTTAAAAGAAACAGAACTGAACTCACCGGGTGTATCTGTTGCACCATGGATATAGTTTGCGGCATTCCGGACAAGGGCAGGGTTTGGGAAACTGAGCCAACAGGTAGTGTTCCTTGTTGCATACCAAGAGTCATGCCTATAAAATTGACACATACACACAATAAGTTTGATGGTAACTATTCATATTACTTAGTTTAAACAAAATAATTAATTGATTTAACAATTAGAATTTCTATAAGGATTTCTTAATAAAAGAAAGAATAAAAGTTTGAATTTCACATTTGTAAAATATGGAATTAATTGTACATTTCATAAATGTAACATTCATATTTTATATTAATTAAATAAAAATTTTATGAACCTTGTTGTTGGTAATGCTGGACCATTTGTTGAGTCTGCTGTTGATGGAGCAGTTGCTGCTGTTGTTGTTGTTGCTGTTGTTGTTGCTGCTGCTGCTGCTGTTGCTGCTGTTGTTGCTGCTGTTGTTGTTGCTGCTGCTGCTGCTGTTGTTGCTGCTGCTGCTGCTGCTGCTGCTTTTTTTAGAAAAAACGTTTAAGAAAAAGCAACGACTTTAGACTCTATAAAATTGAAATAACATGAAGTACATTTTTAGAAAAAAAGGACTTAAAAAGTAAAAGCAATCTAAAAAAATGTAGAAACAAATATAGAAATTTAATTGTTAATAAAAATTAAGTTTTCTAGTAAACAAAAAAAATTAATGGAAGGATAACAAAAAACTGGAGGAACATAATAAACTCAAAAAATGACATTACAATGGTAACCTGCATGGCCTGCTGCTGCAGAATGGCTTGCTGCTGCATGTTCTTGCTGATGGGTTGTTTGTCCTGTCCACTGTTGATTGAGTCATTTGGCCGCTGGAATTCATTACCAAAAGGCTAGAAGGAAACAATGGGCTTTATTTCACGTACACAAGGGAAATTGTAGCCATCACCTCCCATTGTTATAATACAAACTTGTACCATACCCTCGTCCATTCACAGCAGCTTTTAATTATTAAATGTCACATGGTATGTTAGTAATTTTTCATAAAACGTAATAAGCAATATAAAATAGGCATTTAGGCAAATTAAAGGTTTACCTAAATAAGTAATGTTTATTTTTATGCATAATACGGTTCAAGCCCTCATCACTACCTAATGCCAATGGGGATTCAATCAAGTATAATTTAGATATGCAACAGTAAATCAAAAGAATCAATAGAGATTAAGCTCACTCGGCTAGACACATTCTTTTTTACAGTATGGTTACACTTACTAGAGGATATGGTTTTGGGTAAACATAATCATAGATAGTGAAGTGGCTCACGGTTGCTTGTGCTGTTGGATCTGGTGTTGCATCTTGTTGGTCTGGTTAGCCGCGTCCTGCTTGGTGGTCGGTGCTGGTGAACGTACGCCCGGTTTGCCACGGTGCTTTGCCTGTGAAAAAACGTTTCCCTTACTTTCGGATCAACAAGTAAGTTTATGTTTCTCTTTAAAGTGCGCATGTGTTACTGGAGGTGGACCCGCAAATTTGCCTCCTAATTTGATCATTCTGATCAACTCAAAGAGTCTAACCTGACATTTTGGCAAATGGCTTTTAACAAGCCATTTGACATCTGAATAGTTAATTTCTACGATGTTCAGTATTTCAGAAACTGAGCGTAAATTTCATATTGCAACCACAACCCAAGAGATAGTAGCTGTAAATACTCTTTATCAAAGTGAAGAACTGCTCAAAAGAGCTGTGTGTGGTGTACTAATAATTTAATCATGCCTGCTCCCGATTTGAATTGTGCAGAAGGGGTTGGGTAGAAATTCCCAATGACCACTGCAACCTAGAAGATCTATTATATTATCCGCTTACCTGGCTTTGTGACTGATTCGCGTTGGTTTGCGTGGAGACGGAGGAGGCTGGTCTTATCCCGCCCGACGGCAGTATGTTGGAGAGCGGACGAGTCGTCTTGGACATCCCTTCGGTGGAAGCGCGAGGCTTCGTTGAAGTGCCAGCAGTGGCTGTGGCGACGCTCACATCTAAACAAAGCGAGCCATTTAAAAACGATCCGGAAACATCAAATTCAAGAAAGTCGCAGTACATGAATGTGACGAAACGCAAATATCGATTATTATAACTGAAAATTTACTATCGCGCAGCGAGCAAACATGCTTAGTTACGGTCGCAATTAGAAATAGCCCAGCGTTATCGGTCTCAGCTGATAATATGATCAATAGCATCATCTTCATATTTAGGTCACACGGGGTGGTGGTGTAATAAGAAATGACAACATGAATGCAATACTAACTGTTGTGCTGCACATTGTTCTGCGGTGAGTGCTGTATGAACATGGAGGGCGCGGTCTCCGGTTGGGCCCCCCTGATGAATATGGGGTTAGGTGCAAGCAGGCCCCCGGCTGGCAGTGTGCCCGCCTGCAACCCCCCGGTCCACACTTGTGGCAGCGCGCCCGAAATCTGCCACGGGGCGAACTGCATCGTCTGCCCACCGGTCTGCGGAATCACCGAACACTGGAGTTAAATCACAAGAAGGGAAACCCCGCCGCCTAGATTGGCGCCTCACTTCAACAACTTCTGTTATGGGAGCTTTGCGATTCCTCAGATGACTATCTACGCATTATTTCAATTACGCAATTGATGCAAAAACAATAAGGTAAATAAAAATATGGTGACCGAAAACGCTAAAACAAACGGCGTGGGAAAAGTTCGCACGTGCCCACTTTCTGCGCGCGCAGGCAAATGTATTTTTCAAGATGTTTTCAAAAACTTGTAAATAAATATAAATACTATAACAGTTTTAAACTTTTTTCTTGTTTTAAGCCCAGTACTCAGTACTTATTTAATGAATATATATAAAGCACAATTGAAATTTTACCAACGAATTTTGAACTGTATTGTCTTAAGCATTCATTTTAATAATTATTCATTTTAGTGCGATTTAATAATAATTTTAATGTCTGACCATCAAAATTTTATTTAAGTAAGACATTTAGCCGTTATCAGTCACCAATTTATAGACTTCTGTAGGGTAGTTAGAATATTTAGATCGAATGGAGCATAAATTAAATTAAATCGCTTTAAGCTGTATGGACGCATAATTATTAACTTTAATCAAAATGTACACGCGACATTTGAAAACATAACAGTGGCAAAGAAAATAACAATGGCTTTGCAAATTTTGAAACAAAGGATTAAGTATAAACATAACAATTCGCATATGCGTATAAATAAATCAAAGCTTATGCTCTTGGTATACAGAATTCAATAAACAACCGTCAATCAACCAATAATTTCATCTCAAGAATTCGCACACAAGCATTTAATTTATTTATTAATACACAGCTAGCATCGCTTCTTTAACAGCATTCGGGTCCAAATCAATACATAGTAGAAAACAAAGTCGTCCCGCTGTCTGTCTGTCCCTATGTATGCTTAGATCTTTAAAACTATGCAACGGATCTCGATGCGGTTTTTTTCCTTGTATTAACTGATGTTTTTGCTTTCAGTTCCGAGACTATTAAAGCTTCATCTGACGCAGAACCGGTGGGCTAGCCAGAACCCACGGGTACGGTTTTTTTACTGGATAGAGTGATTCAAGTGGAAAATTTATATGAATAATACATTGCACCAGTGCGAAGCCGGGGCGGGGCGCTAGTAGAATATAATATTAGTTTAAATGAACGGAATAATTCAAGTAACGAATAATACCAGTCTTATGTTAAATATCTTGGAGACGGTTTCTGTATGATGAAAGTAGAGATAGTAAGACATTAGATGGTGAGAAGAGAAAGCAGTTGTCATTCTCCTTGAAACCTTCAGATGTAGCACTATGAAGTGTCAGTGTACAGTTCGACGGCGCTGGTAGTGGGTGGGGTGAATGCGGCGGGTGTTACCTGTAGCGGGCTGATGATCTGAGCCTGGGCCGGCTGCTGGGCGCCGAGCACCGGCTGGGAGACCTGGACACACTGCGCCTGCACAGGAACCGTCTGGCCACCGGCCGCCCCGCTACTCCCCACTTTTCCCCCTGCCAACTTTCCACCGCTCATCACCTGGGGAAGTTATTATGATTATGATTCGTGTGGAAGGGATTGTGTACAGTGTTACGACTACTGCGACCTGAAGGTCGATTGTAGCTCTTTTCGAAGTTAGACCCTCCAAACAACAACAACCCTAACGAAGCTGACGTTCGATGAGGGGTCAACATGGCCCTTACCATATCCCGTTTGTATGTATATTGACCAGGGCATTGCATTCACGAATTATGTGAAGCGGTGGCATCTCGTCATCACGCAGAACCTACAGAATGGCCCCTCCGTCAGTCCCATTCCGATCAAACTTTTTGAGGAAGTGACTATTTAATTCATCAATAAAAAGGCAGGTACTTTTCGTCCAAACAGTTTTTCCGCAAATCACAAATACACAGAATAATTTGAAGGCACCAAGGAAGTACCTTGTGCATCTCCGCCGGTTTCTGCTGCTGCCCGATGCCGGAGACCGTGGGCTGCGAGTGAGCGGGAATGATGCTCGCTTGGGAGTTGATGACGCCCAGGGGGCTGAACACGAAGGTCTGGTTTTGCGTGGTCGGTATTGCCGGGATGGTGGTGTAGCCCGGGAACGGAGCTGTACAAAACGACAACGCTGAAAAGCGCACTCTTGCCCCAACGTCGTCAATGCGAGCCTACTGCCCGCCTCGCCTAACCTGACCTGACCCCACGTTTTGACATCGAAGACTGGCAAACTTGCGAGTGCCGAAACAATAGAATGAGTGCACTCAACGGTGTTCGAATAAAATGGAGACGGTTTCGGATCTGTTGTGATTATTGTACTGAACGGTAAAGATGTCTTTTTTCGTATGACACAATTGAATTACTAACAATTCCGCGTGGTAGCAATCGATTACTCAATTCATTTAGATACTCTTAGGGTTTTCCGTCATATTCCAGTTTTGGTTCTGCACATTGCATGATTTGATATTTTCCAATCGCCCATTGAGCTTTCGTAAGTTAAACGAAACTTGTAAATTTATAATATAATATTTGGAGCAAAAAGTTATTATTCTTTATGCGGTTACCTGCTGTTTTACATTTAACAACTTCCACTCGGGTCGTATCTGTTCAGAGCGGTTCGTAACGGAGTATTAATTATATTAACCGAATCCCTGCTATTTTTCTACTTTCGAATTAGAGACAATGCCGACCTAAACACGTTAAGAAAGGGTACTTTATGGAATATCTCATCCATCAATTTATTCAGTTAACATTAGTATTCATAACATTTTTGTTTCCAAGTAAAATAAATTCACAATAATTAAAAGCATAAAATTCTGGATCCTATGCGCCGGTGCTTGAACAACTTTTGCACAGTTAATAAAGTAGCGCATTCACAAATTCTTTCCAAATCTAATACGGTGAGTTATGACAGGCGTATTATTGCGTGAAAGCTGAAGTAAAAAGCACAGTTGCGTATGGCCAAACACATATTTAAACAAAAGCGCTCGCTTGCTGTACAGCCTGCACTATATTTCTGCCAAACAATTTCTTAAAATAAGAAGCATTAATCCCAATCGAGTTGCCAATTAAATAACTTAGAAACAAAATAAACATAAATTCCGAGCTAGAATAAAGTAAAATAGGCACAGACATTCACAGATTCACGAGACTTGAAACAACCATAACGTATCCATCGAATAAAAATATATATAAACCTTGTTCCTGATAGGCAGTTAGACCTGTAAAATTCACTATAAAACTGAATAGTGCAGAAATTCTTTATAATTGTCAAAGATAATACAAATATCAGAGATGTACCTAAGTTTGAATGTATCATTGTAAATTGAGCTATCAAAATTAAAACAACAAAAAATACGGATAGAAGACAAGTAAAAGTAATTTTACTAAGTATTAGGGAATGAAGAATTTAGTTCAGAGATTTGACAAATTTAATTGCATCAAAATTCGAATCAGCTATTAGAATTAAATTCAGTTTTAAATTTTCTAATGAAGCATGACGATAATAAATACTTTGAAGTATATACACATTTATTTTATTACATAAATTTGAATATACGCAAAACATATTGCTATAATTAATCTCACATGGCAGCGGACAAAATGTTCCGAATTCAACTAAAAACAAAACAAATAATATGTATGGCTTGGTGTAAAGCTGGAAAAGAGAAATACTAAAAATGTCGTGTAAGCTGAAAGTGTTATATTAAAAATTATTATTGAATAAATACGTGTAATCGCGAAATGTGATTTAAAAATGATGGTTTAGCAAATTTGTCTTATATAATTTGTAGTCAATGTATTGATGCGATATCAAGCCATTTCCTTAAAGCATTATTTATCTTTATTATAATTTATTCCCAGCGTATAGATAAAATGGTGATTTAGGTGATATTTTAAGCGCAACGCGAGTGGTGATTGGCTCGACTGTGTGTATATATAGTTTGTATACATAGTGTAGTGTGTATACATAGTTAAAAATAAACTAAACTAAAACATGTCAACTGCTATCGTTCGTTATTCGTAAATTTTAATGTAGTATTTAATATTTAATAATTATAGTATTTTAATATATAGTATAGCTTAAAATGTTATTTTTTTATTTGCAATTGTAAACATATCTCTTAGTTGAAACTGGAACTATGTAAATAATTTCATTCGCTCATTAACAGACATTCCAGACTAGAGCGTTCATTGATGCTCGACCACCAGAAGTTTGAATAATCTGGAATTTTTGCATTTTGATTCCACTTTATTGATTATCAGACAAAGTTCCTATCTGAGTGTGTGCTTAATATACATCTAGGCTTCACCCGGTATTTATTTGTGAAGCTCGGGGTTAATTAATATGAGACTTACCTGCTTGACCTTGCAACACCTGTTTGCCTTGAGTGGTTAGCATGTGCGGGGCTAGCTGGTTCCCCTGGAACGGTTTGCCGGCCGCAATCACCTACATAAACGACAACATTCGATCACATACCCCGGTTACACATCGGTGAGGAGAAAAACGAGAACGTAAATTGATCAACGTTTTATTTTAATTTTATTTCTCTACAATCCCTGTTACGACAACTAAACTTCGAGGGTTAAATAAAACGCATTCAGATTTATCGAAGGTTTTTTTTATAGATTAACATCTATTGTCTATTGCGACAGTTCGCCTTTACGCCTTTAATAGTTACTGGAAACTTTACTTATTTTTATTTATTAATTATCTTCTATCTTATCTAGCAGTGCTATTACTTGGTGGGCTGATTTCAAAAACCTATTTGTCAGCGTGGTTTTTCTTCAGGTGTTTTATATTTGATATAGCGTATTCCTTACACTTGTCGCTTACCATATTTGACATAGCGCCAAAATTCTTTTTTCTGACAGAAAAACATTAAAGTAATTGTGTATGAATAAAACAACCATATAATTCAACGAAATCAAAACAACTTGCCAATCTTTATTGAAAAAGGAAAATTCTTTTTTTTTATCCTCAAAACAAAAATAACCTGAATTTGTTGCGAATTGATGCCCGGGTGTAGGGCAATGTTTCCGGGCATGATGAGCGGCCCCGGGCTGTTGTAAAGCTGCTGCAGGTACGTGCTGTTCTGGAGGGGCTGTTGGATGACTTGCACGCGGCTGTGGCCCCACTCGGCGCTGTAAAAGACGCCTAATGTCATATTCTGCGCATGCGCGCGTACTGTCAAGTGCAACGATAGAGTAAACGCTTCAAATCTTTGAACCGGCAAATAATGACAGAACTGAACAAAACGCTTGGACGGAAATAAAACAAAACACTGTTCTCAACTGTACCCAGCGTTTAATGGAGGACGCTTATTCTTGGAGTAACGAGGAAAGTTTAATAAATAAAATCGAATATTATAAAAAAATACTAGTTTCTTGCTTAATCATTAATATGTTTATAATACTACTTTTATGTGAAAGTTGCCAAGCGAGTGGACGGTTCAACTGATGTTAAGCGAATACCGCCGCCCATGGACATCTGCTACACCCGAGGGTTCCAGATGCGTTGACAACATTTTGAAAATTGGGCTCCGGCCACCTTACTCACCAGGCGAAATGCGAAAGTATTATACTTCCACTTTTCGCTGCTCTTCTGTGAGGTCGTGATACTTACCCGGACGCGCCTGCCCATTAGTGCAACAGCCGAGGCAGCTGCGTGGCGCTACCACCGTAAAAACTTACTTAATCATTAATATGCCTCCAATAACAAAGATTTATTATTTTTTAAGATATTACCTAATATCAAACAGCACTATAGGTCTGTTTCTGGAAAGTTCGCTAATAAAGATGTTGACAACCAACACGGCGATAGCAGCCTTAAAACCACTTGGCTATGAAGGAACTCCGCTGCCCCTATAATGGTGTTACTGAAAATGAACCTGATCTGCTGAGGGTGTTGCGTGTTGGGCGGCAGACTCTGCAAGGGCGGCATCGTCGAGATTCCGGCGCCCGCTTGCTGCTGTATGCCGCTTGCTTGCTGCTGCTGCACCTGAAAACACGCGGACACTATTTCACCGAGATCGAACCCTTCCGAAAATATTTCTGGGCGATAAAGTCGAACGGAATGACTATTGTCGAAGTACGCGCTTCCAAATCGTAAATCGAATACCACGAATTCCTGCGAGTGATACACAATTAAAGTGCCATTATTCGAACAACTCAACGAAATAACATAAAAGCCTCATATACAAATCCCTAGAACATGAGATAAGATCTACTACGGTTCTAAGCAAATCGTGAAGCACAGCGCGACAACAATATCAATGTTAAACTGTAATAGCTATTTAACGGTTGGTAATGTATACGGCTGAAAGGGAGGACTAGACGTCGAGCCGAAGAAATACTACTTAAGAGAACTCTTTGTTGTCGAGAACCAATGTCCCAAAAGTCCTCTGCGTGGCCTCCACAGCCAAACAATTGCAGGGGTAAATCAATAATACGTAAATAGAAATTGAGCTGCTTACAAGGCGAGAGCGTCTGGAAATATTTTATCAATGACCCCAAACGTTCCATCGTCTACATCAAAGCGGCTTAAAGACTACCCACACGAAATCTCCTTCGCACTTGCTACAGACGCACAAAAAAAATAAGTATAAGCGTCGATAGTGCTCAAAATGAAAACGGGCTAATGAGGAGCTAACGTACATAAATAGATCACAAAGCGATTTCATGCTACATTGTGATTCGAAATGAGAATTCGAAATTTGCAACTATCGTGAATGTTTTAATGTGAGAAAATATATTATTTTTAAACGGAAAGTGGAACTTATATTAAAATTATCTTGTTTTTTATTATTAATTTTAGGAATTAGTAGCTACAAAAGCACCATTGACAGGAAAGGAAGCAAACAAAGCTTGGGATTGAAAGAGTTAGTGCAATTAGTTAAAAGATAAAAAAAATCAAGTGGAATCCAACCTTATAGCGACGAATCTAGGATAACAATTGATTGTAGGCAAAGACGATTTGCAGCGCCAAGAGAACTTTATGCCGACTGTGGTACGTACTTGGTGTTGAGCCATACTGTTGGGCATGGAGGACACAACGGTGACCGTCTGGTGGTGTTGCTGCGCGGGTTCGTGCTGGGCCATGCTAATCTGCTGCTGAACTACTTGAGTTTGACCGTCTACTAGCTGCAACACACGCGCGTTCATGCATTTAGTACGGACGTCAACGACGCGATCCGAACGTTGTGTAGTGGCGCACACATAAAGGCACACATATAAAGGCTTCATGTCACACAAGCAAAGGGACGCTACGAATTCTGGCTCAACATTGGACACGGACACAGACACGAAGCGAACACTAATTACACATTTATCAAATGTAGTCGGTCCAAGTTCTCGACGGTGACATTTAAATATGTTACAAAAATTAAAGTGACAACAAATACTTCTATGGTTAGATAGGGTAATGTTTGCCAGAACGTCTTACAATTAGCAGCAAAGGACAGATATGCATCTATAATATAATACCAGTAGTGTCATGACGTCAGTACATCGTGACAGTACTCTGCAGTTAGAGTCACAAATAAAAATGTAACTTGTACTGACTTGTTGCGATTTTATGTCGCCGCTCATCCCGGTCTTCTGGTTCTTCTCGAAGAACAAGTTGGTCTGCGGCGACGGCAAGAAGCTGAGGTTGATCTCGCCGATGCCCGGGACGTTGAACTGCTGCGTGTGTACAGGCTGAAAACAATTCCCGGCATTAATGGATGATCGGTATTTGACAAGGAAACCATTACGATGAGATCGTTTCATTAGTTCGATTTCAAACAACAGGCTAAAACACCAGAGCTCTCAATGGGGTATGTAATCGAACGATACGCGTAAATAACTTTGGCACAGGAAAAAAAATATTTATAATAAGATCAAGCTATTTCTTTAACATCGAATTAAATGGTCAAAAATAAAATTTATTGGACATATAATATACTTACGAGTGATCCAAATGCAATCTTCCGAATTCGTCTTGGGTTATAGCAGATGTTGTTAGTGTTGGTTAACATAATCATTACAACGGAAAGTTTAAATTTACAAATTAAAAATTAAATAACGTTAAATCACATTAAAAGGGGCAGGATAAATGAAAAGTTAGTAAAAGAATAATGATTAAAAAACTACATGAAATGTAAAATTTAAAGTCACATTATCATCGACGAATTAAATAATAAAATTAAACTTATACAGAATAAAGGAAATATTAAAAACATAAACAATAAAAGAAAAAAACATATATAATTAAATAAATTAAATATATTTAAAACTGGTGCAAAACGACGTAAATTATATAAAAAAAAATAATACGGAGGATTATAGAAAACATCGATATGATATAAATGATCAAAATAATTTTCAAAAAAGTCTCCATGTCAAACATGATTGCTTGACGGACACACGAAGTTAATGTAGACTCGAAAGTACGAAGGAGCGTCCGATGAAGTCAACGGTTAGACGACCAAAGACGTACAGCAATAAAAATATCCCTTCAGACTGAAGTTAGCAGAAATGCCTATATGAGCGGGGGGGTACAACAGGTATAATAGCGCGATCGATACGTTCGTGATAATAAGAAACGCGCATGTATCCGAATTATAAAAATATCACAGAATAAGAATCGTTTTCAATTGCGCGCCTCATTAGTGATGTCAGAAATAAGTCGCTGAAATGTTTATTTTTGGGTCTTTCGGGCGGCACGGGGACTTAGATAGGAATCGAGAATATTCGTACAGCTTTTCTTTCGCCTAATCGTATAGTAGGTAAAATAAAATCGCGACAAACAATATTTTTAATGGAACATTTTACACCGATGTTCTACGAAGTGCGATTGGAATAATATATCTCCCATAACGATAAAATACGTGTTCGGCTACTATTAGTGAGCATTTAATAATAAAATTGAATGTCGAAACGAATATCCCAAATAACGCTTATCTAAGCGAATATCTCCTATAACGCTTGTTAAGTATTCGTGTTACCTGCATGAACTTTTGCTGTGATAACTCTTGTTGCTGACTAACTTGCTGCAGCTCCGTTTTTTGCTGCTGCTGCTGTTGATGTTGCTGCTGCTGTTGTTGCTGCTGCTGCTGCTGCTGTTGTTGTTGCTGCTGTTGTTGCTGTTGCTGCTGTTGTTGCTGTTGCTGTTGTTGCTGCTGTTGAAACTGTTTCTGCAACTAACAGCGACATGGGTCATCAACGCTATCATTTTTATTACTTAAGCGAACGTACACCATTTATCCGGTTATCGGTGAGTAAATGTTTATTTATTTCGTATATTCTTTTTTGACAGTAAGGGCTCATTCGATTTTTATTTGTCCTCGCTCGAACAATGGCATTTCTTTATTTACTAATTTACATTTATAATTGATGATAATAACGTTCAATAATTTATAACGCAGAAGAAACAGCTGTATTACTCCCAAAATTCGATTCGAATTTGATTTTGTTTTCAAATCGAACTCAGTCTCGATTTGAAATGCTTACTCCCGATCCGAATCGAAACTAGAAACAAGATCGTGCATTATCAAATCCGTTAACTATATCCGGCCTATTACGTCACAGACAAATGTTCCATGTTTACGGTTATAACATCTTTTTTTAGATAAAATTATAATTGTTTAATTTTTTTCGAAAAATTATTGGATCTTAGTTCCAATTAGAGCCACCACTCGATTGGGCGCTGACGTCAGATTCAGTGGTACGAACTGCCTTGTATTCGAGTCAAATTCGATTGATTCAGAACTCAAATCTGTCGGGAGTTGGCCGCCAGGTCTCCTACCTTGTAAAATTAAAATGTGGAATTTACAGTAATCATTTGGGGAAAAATAATTGCATTTGTAAAAAATCTATCGTATTAGTTTTATTCAACAAAAGTAACTTTAATTTTATTCGAAATCAGTAATTTAATTTTGATAAACAACAGCACTAACAGTTATGTTACCTAAATGACTCGATTTATGTCAAAAATATATATCACTAGAATGCACTGCAGTCTGATACATTTTCAATTTATAAAGTTGATGTCCGATTACAGACGTACCTGCTGTTTTACTCCCCAAATTCGATTCGACTTTGTTTTTGTTTTCGATTCGAACTCACTCTCGTTTCGTAATGTTTACACACGAACTGAATCGAAATTAGAAACAAGATCGTGCGTTATCAAATCGATTAAATGTATGCGGCCTCTTACTCCACAGACTAATGTTCCATGTTTACGGTTAAAACATCTTTTTTAGATAAAAAATAAATAATTAATTGCTTAATTTTTTCTGAAAAATTATTCAATCTTAATCAGTTCCAATTAGAGCCACCACTCGATTGTGCGCTGGGCTCAGATTCAATGAGTGGTACGAATCTGTCATGAATTCGAGTCAAACTCTAAAAAAGTAAAGAATCAGCCTATACATGTCCCGCTACTGAGCAAAGGCCTCCTCCTCTGTACAGAAGGTATGAGGGCATAGTCCACAACGCGGCTCCACTGCGGATTGGCAGACATCAGCTCTGCGCTTCAAGAGAAACAATCAATTTCAATTCCACGATCTCCGGCAGAACTCACGCTGTACGACAGACATTGAGACGTCAATTAAAAAAACAATCATACGCAAAATGCGTTACTGTAAAGTCCACGCTTTCATGGTTCGACTGTTAAGGGACGGGTCGCATGCACGACTCTGTTCTCTAGTTCTAATGACAGTGTATATACGCTTAGTATAAATTCAGGGCGTAAAAACCAAATGTAAAATATACATCAATCTTACATTTGGTTTTTATGCCCTAAATTATAAACGATTATTACATCCTAAAAGAGAACACTCCATACTTATGTAAAATGTTTTTATTTTATAATTTGTGACAATTAATGTTATTGGCCTAGCTATTTTGGTACTGCATCCATACTTATTTAAGAAAACACAGTGATATCATACACCTACCAACAGATGGTAAGGTAAGATTTCAAAATCGTAAGTTTTAGAGATAATTCAGTTAATAAAACAACAAGAAATAATGACAGTATTTGAAGCCGATTTTACATTGTGTTCGCCGTTAAAATTTTACATTGAATTTACTAGCATCAGATATTTCAACATTCATCAAAGAAACAAATTCAACATATACATTCATATATGCAACCTAGTAGTTTGAGATTCATTATATAATAATTTTCGGTTACACCTGTAATCAATATAGACTCAAACAATATATACAGCGTGCCGTTACCATCGCGACAATAAATGAACACACGTCTAACGCTACTTGCCAATAATCATAAAAAAATACTAACATTAAACAAAATCCATAATTAAAAAAAAATTTTTCAAACAAAGTAATTAAGTAAAAAAGAAAGAAAATTTGTATCAACCTATACAACTCGCGCTACAGCGTCGCATTACAAGCTTCTCCTTCTAACAGTATGTTTTGTCTCTTTTAAATTCATTCAACGCATTCATATGCTTTGTGACCTTTACAAATGAACTTAACGTTAGAGTTTTATACGTAAGGGTGTTCTAAAATTGTTTGTTTTGGAAAATTTTATAACTGGGTTAATATTGATGTTTAAAGAATGTAAATGTTTAATACAATATTTCAAAATGTTATCCTCTATATGTGTGTTCATTTATTGTCGCGGTGGTAACGACACGCTGTATATATATAAAATATCAAAATTTTAATTGATACTGGACATTACCATAAAATAATTCTCACAATAAAAATACACCAACAACATATCTTAATATTCGATAGAGAAAGGTTTTACTAATACAACTGTAGTTTTCACTAACATTCTTTTCAAGAATTGTTTAGATCAATCCTCAAACTCAACATAATATTAAGTACTGTTCTTATAATTTAGACTGCAGAAGTCACAGTTAACACCCAACTTTTTAATAACAACTTGTGTTTGACAACAAAATGTTGAATGCTACTTATTGGGTACCATCATATAAAAAGGTTACAAGTTACTTCATGACTTAAAAGCAAATTCTTACCAACTCTTGATCCTGTTGGTTTTTAATATGTTGTTGAATTGCGTGATGTTGTCGCTGTAGCGCTTGTTGCTGCAGCTGTTGCAATTGCTGTTGTTGCAGTTGCTGCAGCTGTTGTTGCTGCAATTGCTGCAACTGCTGTTGCTGTTGTTGCTGCTGCTGCTGAATTATTTGCTGTTGTATCTGTTGGTTTATACACATCAGTATATTAATTGTTATTATAATTGCCTGCTATATTGCTGCTATACCTGTGCTATATTGCAAGTTTAACAAGTTTTTTAAATTATATAATATTTCTCAAAATTGGTGTAATCATAATATACATATACATAGACGTGTATTACTTATATGAATACATGGGTGAAAGTAAACACAACTGACCCAACCCAACCTGTATGCTAAAAAGATGTTATACATTTAATAAAAATCATATTTTATATATCTTAGCAACTAAACTAATAAAAAGAAGATAATTTATAATATATAAAAACAAAACAAGGAAGTACCTGAAGTTTATCATCTTCTTCTTTTTGATTTCTATAACGGTACTCCTCGGACTGTTGGTGACTATCCGGTTCTGTTTTGGGTTGCTTTAGCTCTGGCCTTCGAAAAGTGTTATTTTGTTTATCTAACGCTAGAAGTGTGTTTGCAGCTTCGTATTTGTCTTCAAAAGTTATACCAGCCTTTTCTGCTAGTGTCTCTAAACATTGAAGGGGCCTCTTATTTGGTTTAGATTGAACTTTAGTCTTATCTGATTGGCCAGTACCTGGTGATTGTTTTGGCACAGTTCTAGTTATTGTTATACTATTTTTATTGCAATCATCTTTTTTATCATTCTTCGGCTCCAAAGTAAAATAGTTTTTATGATAATTATTGTCTTTATCTTTCTCTCCGTTGAGATTACCGTTTTCAATCAATGTTATTGTTGTAGAATTTGCAACTTTTATTGTCTTATCTTTGGAGTCGTCTTTTGCTTGGACGGGTGAGCCCGTTCCATGTGATGGAGACAGGATTTGAGCTGGAACATGCTGTGTCGCAGGGGCTTTCGGATTCAGCACATCAGGAGTATGCAATTGTTTGTCTGTGGGCTTCGATAACTGTTGCTGTTGGAAGTTGGAGGTCGGCGGCTGGTCTTTTTCTTGTTCTTTTTTCTTTATGTTATCTAATATTTCAGACCTGAAATAGAAATATGATTTATTGTACACCAGGTTTTAAGGGTAGAGATCATAGAACATAGATCATAGACTAATAGAAACGAACTAACACAAAATATTAGTTTTATTCATTTTGTATATTATTTTTTGTAATACCTGTAAATATCTGCCATAACTGCGTAAACAAGAATAAGGCATTTAGGATAGGTGGAATAAACTTCTAATACTATTTTACGATGACTAAGTTAGTACATCCGATATATTCTACAATCCGGAAGTAAAAATTGTATCATAATAACGCGCTTACAATTAATAACAGGTAAAAGTTCTGTAAATTCGACCCAAAATTGATCACTAGGGATGTGTATACTTTGTCCGTAGTTATTCTGACAAATCCTCACTTATTCTTACAAAGATTTGGCAGACATTCTGCACATAACTAGACACTTTTCTTCTTCTTTAGATTAATGATATCTTTGTAGAAACTTTTACAAAAGAAATATTTACAATTGCCGACTGACTTTTGAACATTGTTCTGTCAATGTCAAATAATGACTTGTTTATGGTTGACTTTTTTGCCGTTAAATATGATTTAACATATATAACATTTTTATCTTAAATTCGCTTTAACTTTGAATAAATATACATATATTTAAAATATTCATATATAATGCTTTAAACTAAATTTATATGATTATTTTAACTTATACTTGGATTAGCGACGTAATTTTGAATGAGTTTGATTAGTGATGCCCTTAAAAAACTTACAGTAACATAAATTTTTAATTTATTGATTATTATTTTTATTACTCCAATTTTGTTATCATGCAAGTCGTTAATTTCACTATTTGTACTATACAATCTAAATTTTTACTAAGTCCCGAGTATAACATAATAGAAATGAGTGCATTTAAGAAACGAGAACAATAACATGTTATTAATTAAATTTTTTCTTCAGAAAAATGAAATAATGTTGTTATACATATGTACATTTCTTTATTATAATACAGGATTAGTTACAAAACCCCATGCTCATTTTTCTGATTCATGGATACTTACCACTTCCATAACTAACATAAGGTTATGCACCTATTTAGATACCTAAATAAAAACGGCTTGCCTGGCATTATTTCACAGGGGGAAGCAAAAAAATAATGAAAACGTGCGAGCAAGAGGGCTTTATGCGGACACGTGTGGCGTAGAAAGAGAACCTCAAAGCGCACTAGGGGAGTTGGAGAACAAACCGGTTCTGCATGTGTGCAGACAGTCGGCGCCCTCCCTCCCCACGCCTGTCGACCCTCGGGTACGAGGGCCTCACATTGTCGGCTTTTCCCCGAAGCGTTGCAATAATAATACTAACCGACTCCCCTTATTAAACTCACAACAAAGCCCACAGGTACGTGCATTTTATTAGTATGAAGTACAAAACTTGGCAAACTTTAGCAATGTCTTTAAAAATATTGTAAAAATGAAGTGTAAGTTTCCTTTCTCCTTTACTGCTTAAAATCTTTACATAAAACTTGATTTGCCACTGTAGGCGCAAATGTTAAATCGCGATCCATTGCGATGACGAGTGCCCCTGCCCACCTGCTAACGCCACACGCGACGCACTCAACCTCACTAATTCGCAGTCGTAAAGTAAAAAAATAACATAAAATACCTTTTGGTGTAAAAACCATAAGAACAACGTTCCATCGTTTCAAAATAAAGGGTTAACTGAAACGTAAGCGCCGACCCATGCGGCAATTATTAAAAGAAAAAATAAACAAAAAGATAAGGATCGAGACATTCGCACGGGTGAAAGTAAACACAACACTTATTATCGACGAAAACGACATACAAACACACTTTATCGATAGTCCGGTGCCAGTCTCATTGTAACAATAACCTTCTTTTCGAGTGGCGAAACACGACTGTACAGTGTGCGCACGCTGCTGCCGTCGCGCCGCATCAATCCCCTTCACCCCTCGCATCGTACGCTCTCTATCGTTCGTCGCCAATGGTACGCCCGCTACGAATCCTGAGTTTTCATTGGTCGATTCGTTTTATGACCGTTCCACAAACAAAACCGGTTGCCGAGAACGGCACGAAAGGGCGCGAGGGACGAAATTAGTGTTTCTGCGCTATTATTATTACTTTCTCTCTGTCTCTTTCTTACTTTAGGTTACTTTAAAGGCTACTACTCTACAGGCTAGAGTAATAATTTAAGAAATTAGACACGTATAGTGTCGTACCATCGTTTCATTAATGAATAAATTTGGGATATAAATTGAGAAAAATAATTGTTTTAAAAAAATATATTGTGAAAATAAACATAGTCATATCATTCGATTATAAGTTAATATACAATAAAAAAAAGTTAAAATAATCGTGAAGAAAAATAATCTGAGAAGCTTTATAAAATATAATATACCAATACAATAGAAACATATCATATATTTAAACGTGTAAAAAGGGGTTCCTTTACGTTGCACAGTTAGAGGGTTTCACTATACTACCCCAAAGGCTTCCCTAAACCACCCTTATAATCCGGTACTATTAGCACTAGGGTGGAAGTTACCCTTTTTTTAAATAATTTTATCCCTACATTGCAGAATCACATACATATTATTCTGCGCTTATTAGAAACAGAAATTACTTTTAAATTACCTACATGTAATATGTATGCAAGAAATTTAAAAAGTAAATTCACATAAAAATGCGGCTTTCTTGATTATGATTTTATACCATTAATGGCAAAAATTAAGCAATGTTTTTTGTAATAACAATAATGCGTTAATCTTTAATTTAGTAGTTTATACTTATTACCTAAAATTGTGGGCATATTGCTTTTATAACTTTTTGAAATAATTATAAGAGTATTAAGTCGCTTGCGATATGAATTATTTGGAATTGTTATAATATGTAGATTGAGTAAATGGTTTCTTAAACTATAATGCTACTTTTTAACCGACTTCAAAAAAAGAGGAGGTTTCTCAATTCGACCGTATATATATTTTTTATGTGTGTTCGGGGATATCTTTGTCATTTATAAACCTTATTATTTTTTTGTTGGATAGGAGATATCCCAATTGTGGTACCATGATAAGGAAACCGAGATCTGATGACGGCATCCCAGAGAAATCAAGGGCAATCCTCAAATGTTATAGATGTTGACAATGTTTTTAGTTTCCTGTTTCAAGTCGGTTTTTTTTTGTTCAAAATTATCTTATTAACATTGCCTCCAAAAATGCATATGTTCTTATAAGGTAAATATAAAATTTATTGTGACAAAATGAACGCCAGATATACAAATTATTTATTTTTATTTATAGATTGTGCGCAACCCTATTAAACAGTATTCATAAATTGTGTACAGCGCCATCTATTGTCCCATAAAAGTTTGAATTTTGCTTAGCTTCAAGTACCATCTAGTAAGATTAAAGACAAATTATTGCGTGCAAAACATATTTTTAATATTAAAATATATATGGTACCAATTCCTTAACATTTAAATTAAATGGTAAGGAAGGAATATATAAAGTTCACTTACATCTTTATAGATGTATGAATTTTATTAAGGAAGGAGACTACTAACCTCTCCATTTTAATTGCGAAAGACAAAGTATGAGAGTTATGTTGGCAGACAATAATATACTTACGCCCGGTTTCGGAAACACTGATCTGTAGTAACCCATCAAATATGTTAGAACAATAAATCGTGATATTGTTTTCTATATAAATCTTAAGCTCAGTAAGTAGTTGGTCGTTAGACGCATTCAGACAAAAAAATCTTTGATACCTTTTCCCCTACCTGAGAATCCATAAACTATTTGGTGGTTACAAAAAACTAGGGATGCCAGTTGATATAGGTTCAGAGTGAGGTTATTTTAATTTTAAAATCATTAAGTTGCTAAATATATAAAAAAGTGTAGAAGAGATATTATTATTTTTCTCTAATGTTAAATTAATTGGTGTGGAAAAAGTGAAAGTTTTGATCTCGGTTGCAGAGATATGTAAGTGTTCATAATTATTATTGTTTTTTATGCATCACAGTGATATTTAATAATATAGTTGGCGCCTGTCCATATTGCGTAGCGTTTAAAAATGTTTCCGCTTTACGTTATATGACAAGTGAGAAACAAGAGAGAATTACTTAAACCAATTGGTGTAATTTGAGCGCCTCAATATCGGTGCGCTAGTGTCATATTTTTGTAATTAAATTAATTTATTCATCAGGTAACATTTTCCATTAGAGCCGGGTGTTTTCCGACCTAAAAATTTTTATTAGGGTAAGAAAATTCACTAATGGAATAATCAAAAAGAATTTTCCGGATGCTAGTAGTGTCCGAGAAAAAATATTTAAAGCTTGCTAAACAAATCCGCCATGGTCATAAAAAACCACTAAAACTTAGGCAGGAGCGGAGTTTCTAACCTAACCTTTCCGAGTCGGAATTCTCTTTCGGATCTGTCTCATTAAATTAAAAAAAAAAGTTTCATACTTTCATATATTTTTTATATTTATATATTTATTACATTGGCAGTACTGTGTATTTAGTTTTTGAATGCAAATTAGTAAAACGGCGGACTTTCTTAGACAGTCATGTTTTAAATATTTTTCTCAAAAACCATAAGCGACCAGAAAATTCTGCTTGTTGATTATTTCGTTAGTGATTTTTCTTTACCGAATAAAAAATTTTCTTAAGCCGGCGCTGATGGAAAAAATATCAACTTTCTTATCACTGTCTTCGTATTTTCTACGCATGATACAATGATGATTAGACGATGTCAGCGTTCACATCTTCAATTTCGACAATATACAGATTTCGTTACAAACTCTATCACGCAGAGAAATACCGTGCATAGCCCGCTCCGTAGCTCGCTGAGCGACTTTGAGCTTCCTCATACGGCCAACAGTGAAGGACCACGTCTCGGTTCCGTAGGTCATAGGAACAAGATAACCAACATAGCTCAGAGGATTAGCAAACTGAAGTGGCGATGGGCCGGCCACATAGCTCGTAGAACTGATAACCGTTGGGGATGAAAGGTTCTCGAGTGGCAGCCTCGTACTGGCCATTGACGACTTGTACAAGTGGGCGGGAAGTCGAAGGATGCAGGTAGCTCAGGATCGTGGCAGTCTATGGGCCTATGTTCAGTAGTGGACTCAGGCAGGCTGAAATGATGATGATGCAGGTTTCTTCACGATGTTTTCCTTCACCGCTAGCCGGCACTTAAAATTAACAATTTCATGCATACCTGCACCAGGGATCGAAATTAGGTTGCTCGAGTATTTTGAATTATAAGCGAGCGTTCGGGCAAAGAGCTATCACGGCTATTATACAAATAAGGCGTCGCATCCATAAATATTTGTTATTCTAGAAATCTTATTGTTCAATTCTTAAAGACAGAATTGCAAGTGAATGGTAGTAATAATTACTATTTACGTGCTAATTGACATCTGGGTGCGTACCGAGCTTTACATGGTCATATTAAAAATCCCGACAAAATTAGTTTTTGGAAATGCCAATCGTAGCGATAGCTTTGTGTACTTGGCAATCTCTTAACTCCAATCCAATCCAATCCAATCAGCCTTTTGCAGTCCACTGCTGGACATAGGGACATAGGCCTCACCAAGAGTACGATTTTCCGCTTTCCTCTTAACTCTAGTCTAAATTAAACAAGGTTGATGCAATCTTATAAACTTAATAATAGGTCTGTACTTATGAAATTGCAGTCCATTATATTCTTCAGTACTGTCCAAATAAGACAAAAAAAAATGTTTTGATTGCCTCTGAATTATAAATTCAAATTAATTTTGTTTAAAAAACATGAAATTCTTTATAAAAAGTCAGACTTTTGTTTATTGATTAGCTCTGTATCTTCATAACATTTAACAAATTGTTATGATGGATACTTCAAAAATTCTTGTAATTATTGAATACGACGTGGCACAAATGGCAATTACCATCAACAACGTTTACGAAAGGAACTTTACAAACGAACACACAAAAACAAACCTATTAAAAAGAACGTCGTGATCGTCTGGACATTTTGGTCAACAATGATGAATTAAAGGCGATTGTGGAAGCAGATGATACTAAATCTAAAGATGAGTTATCAGCGACTTTTGATGTTAGCGTCTAAATCATATTGGTAAAAAAGCTTGATAGATGGGTGCCCCACGAACTTAACGATCGACAGCGCGTCGTACGCGTCGAGACCTGCCTCAGCTGGCAGCTGCTCAACAGGCACACAATCGAAGAAATTTCGAACCGAATTGTAACGCGCGGCGAAAATTTTCGTTGTGAAGAAATTCTGTTCGTCAATCGGAAGCAATGCCCAAAACCAAAAATCCGCTAGAAAGGTGATGGTCACTGTTTGGTGGTCTAGTGCCGGTGTGTTTTTTCACAGCTTTTTACAAAATGAGCGTTACTGCAGATGTGTAATATGAATAACTGAAGACAATGATGAAGAAGCTCGCACATCTGTAACCAGCTTGGTCAATCAATCGCCCCCACTGATCCTTCTCTCGCGCACGCGCAACCCCATACTGCCCAACAGACAGTTTCCAAGCTGTAAGAGTTGGGGTTAGAAACTCTCCTTCATACGCCATACTCACCAGACCTTGCACCAACCTTTTACTTTGATTACTTTTTGCAAAATTTGGGCAGCTTTTAGCCGAAAGAAATTCAATTTCCGAGAGGCAGTACAAAATA